GCCCACGCCCCTCGCTACTCTCACCACCTCGACATTCACTTCCCGCACCGCCGTTCTGCTTTCGCTGCTATCGCGCTTCTGAGCACACACCCCCTTTCGAAGCGCCATTCACTACAAGCTCTCTTGCCCGCCGTACACGCCCTTCCTGTCGGGCTTCTGGCACGAACCGCACAGCCTGCCGACCGATCCTCATCTCTCGTCGTCCATGATACAGCTTTTCACAGACGACCCTTCGCCTATCGATCGTTTTGCTTTCGACTTGCTTTCATGACCGGCGACAAAGTCGTCTTCCTGCTCGCCAGATAATTGTCGTGACGACGTCCTACGAAAAAAGGACATTCTGCCCGTCATGACTGCTGTCGTGGAGGATTATTTGGAGAGTCCCATGGACAATGACGACGTCTTCCCTTGCAAAGGTTGCGGCGAGGTACGATGGCCCACCCCCGTTACTTCTGACTATTCTGCAAGCACGTACTGATGGCGGTACCCTACCCGATTAGATCCTAGAAGAGGGCAAAGCGTTCGAACTTGGTATGTTCCCTACAATTGCTTCTCTTCTCAACTCTCTCTTGCCCTATTCTCTGTCTCTGTAATATGCTCTGAGCAGCATCATCATCTGGCTTCACCCTGTGGCCATGATGTCCTCCGTGGCCATGGCGTCGTCCGCAGTCTCCAAGTTCAACCAGGCTAACCAGTCTCCTCCTCCTTCAGCTGGCAACCGATGGCATCTCAACTGCTTCCGCTGCAATACTTGCGGCACCCTTCTCGATTCCGATGCGAACCTGCTACTCCTCGGCGACGGCTCGCTCATCTGCAATAACTGTACATATAGCTGCAGTGCCTGCAACAACAAGATCGAGGACCTCGCTATCCTCACCGGGGATCAGGCCTTCTGCGCAACGTGCTTTAGGTGTCGCAACTGCAAGCGGAAGATCGAGAACCTGCGATATGCTCGAACTTCGCAAGGTATTTTCTGTATGAGCTGTCATGAGTCGCTCATGGCAAGACGGAGGAAAAAATCAAAAGCAGCAGCCCAGGCCAAGTCGAAAGAGAAGGACGGCTCCCCCATGATTACCGACAAGTCACTTCCCGCCTTGCCACCCAATGCCATTCCTCCGAATGCCTTCCACGATACCAAAGTCGACCCCGATTCAGACAAGGAGACTCCGACCGAGCTGTCCCCAAGACCGCGACCGGCATACGGCAGAAATGATTCTTCGTCAAAAAATAGCACTCGGCCTTCGCGTTCTCCTGAGCGTGTCTCCGAGCCCGCCAGGGAAAGCGGCTTGGGTCTTCCTGCTTCAAACTACCGCAACAACCGCAACTCGACCATGTATGCTCCTAATAACAACGCCGATACTAACGGCGGTGACGACGGTTTCTTCATTCCGGTGGCGCTGGATAACAACCCGGCATCGAATGCTACCCCCCGATCGACATTGGAGAACGTGTCCAGCGCATCCAAGAAGGATAAGGACTACTTCAGCGTGCCCCGAGCCAGCACTGATCAAAAGGGCGAATCCCAGTCCTCAACACCCCATATTGCTTTTCAGGAGAAGGGTCGACAGCCGTCGTCTGATTATGAGTCCGGGCCCATTAAGTTGCCGCTGCGCAAGACTTCAAAGTCATCTCGGCATGACGGGCGATCATCGGTCATCAATGATGAGAAATCGCACAAGGTTACAACCGGCAAGCTCTCGCCATCGATTGATGAGTTTAAGTTGCAAGATGCGCCCAAGAGCAAGAAGCTCATTAGCCCGAGAAGTGCCTCTCACTCGGCCGCCTTGACCCCAGAGAGCGGCAGCGCCAAGAGCAGCGAAGGTGTTCTGCGCAAAGACAAGGAGCCGTTTCCTAACTTGCCTTCGTCCGATTCACCTCCACGCATGGCCCGATCGTCTCAAGATTCGAGACAGCGCGATGAGGGCGAGGTGCGTCCTTCGATGGACTCCATCTCTTCCTCGCGAACAGACACAACTGCTGGCAAATCCATTGCTCGTAAAGAGCTTCCCTCGCGTAGCTGTAAGTCAATTTCGCACCCGTGTTTTACCATCATGCAAGGCGCACCGACCTAATCTTCTTTTTACTCTCCCACAGCCAACGGCAAACCTCTAGGTCGATCCAACACACATGATGAGACAACCTCATCAGGTCTCGCAGCCGGGCGACCGAATATGACTGAGCACAAGCTCAGCGATACTTACATGCAGCCTCGAGCACCCCCTCAACCGCCCGGCAAACCTGCCAACTCTCCCAATCCTCCCGCAAAGGATCAGGCGAACGTCAACGAGGAAGGAAAGGTATCACCTAAGCTGCCTAGATGGAGTGCAGGTGGCGATTTCAGTATGGACGAGGACATGGCGAGGATACTTGGCACCGACGCAGATTCGTCGTCCATCCTTCGTCGCGTATCAAATGCCGTCCGTCACGGACGTACCAACAGTACCGAGGGTGGTCATTCTCAGACTCAACATCCTCATAGAGTCACAGGTCACACGAGGAGCATCAGTGAGACCACCCGCGGTACCGCTTCTCCTCGCTGGCCCAAGACCCCGATTGCCGAGGATCCCAACGGACATGAGATCAGCAGCCCTATTTCCCTGCACTCAAGCGACGATCCGGCTTTCCTCAAGAGGCAATTGCGCAACTCAGAGAATCGTGTTGCCGAGTTGGAGAGACAGTTCACTACGGAGAAGGACTTGAAGCGTCTTAACAAGACGCTCATTGAAAAGCGCAAAACAGTTTCGGTGTTGGATACTCAGACTGAGATTATGATTCGTCAGCTGGAAGTTCTCGCCGGATACGTCGAACGCGCAAAGGAGACCAAGACACCTGTCGATCCCCGCGACCTGGAAGATTCTGCAATCAAGGAGTTTGTGCAGAAGCTTGACAAGGTCAAGCAGGCCATGAGCGCAGCTATCGAGCAGCTACACGAGGAACGCGACGAGCTAGTCGACGAGAAGAACCAGGCAATGGCCGACAGGGACCGCGCCCTGCTGGAGTTTGAGCAGCTTTCTTCCAAGAACGCCCAGCTTGCGGACATGAACAACGAAATGACCCACCAGATCCAAGAACGGTTCAAGTCTCAAATTGGAGGCGAACTCAAGTCTCCCAACGGCCTTGGCATTTACAGCCAGAGCAAGGTCTTCTCATCATCCAATCTGAACCTCACCGACTCGGCGAGCATGACCACGACTCTCGTTCATGAGACGGATGAGCCAGTTGTTGAAGCTCGACCGACAGTGGTTGATATTAGGAAGGGCCAGGTGAAGAAGTTCAACTGGAAGAAGGGATCCAAGGGCCTCGCAGGAAGCGTGGCCAAGGGTGTCAACCGTGCCGTCGTGGCTTTCCAGCAGGAGCGCGAACGCGGTCCTCATCAGGGCCTGACGGGAGACAGCATCGGCCTGCCGTACAATATGACTGTTTCTCAAGTAGAAGCACCCAGTACCCAGGCTCCTGGAGCTGCCTCGCAGCAGAAGAATGCGCAGCAAGCACAAGGTTTTGGCTTCTTCAAGAACAAGAATAACCAGAAGTCCATGTCCACGACCAACGTGTCGACGCCCACGATCGCAGAGGCGCCCACCACCTTGTTCGGCTCAGACCTAACTGAAAGAGCTGACTACGAAAGGCGCACCATCCCAAGCGTAGTAACACGTTGTATCGAAGAGGTTGAGCTTCGCGGTATGGATATTGAAGGCATCTACAGAAAGACGGGCGGCAACTCCCTGGTGAAGGTCATTCAAGAAGGATTCGACAAGAGCGAGGACTACGACATCTCAGACCCTGGCCTAGACATCACCGCGGTGACGAGCGTGTTGAAGCAATACTTCAGGAAGCTGCCAATGCCGTTGTTAACGTACGAGGTGTACGACAGAGTCCTGGAGTCGAATGGTAAGTTGATATACACACATTCCCGCCCGAATTCTAAGCTGACATTGCCTGGTAGCCATCACAGACCAGACTGAACGCTGTGACCATCTTCGTAAGGTTTTCAGCACGATGCCACAGCGACACCGCGACTGTCTTGAGTTCTTGATGTTTCATCTTGCGCGGGTTGCTCAACGGGAGCCTGAGAACTTGGTAAGCTTTCATCTCAGTGGTGCAAGGTTGCAATTAAGCTAATTGATATGACAGATGTCTCCCAAGAACTTGGCGGTCGTGTTTGCGCCCACTATCATGCGGGACACGAGCCTGGAACGTGAGATGACAGACATGCACGCCAAGAACCTGGCTGTGCAATTCGTTGTCGAGAATAGCCACACCATCTTTACCGACTGAAAGATTGGCTTGGATGGACAAAAATGATGTTGGAAATTCATGTACATATCAACGCACCCACGACTTGACGCCCTCGACCCCCTTTTATTCAACGAATCTGGCCCGGAGAAACCTTTCCACACGCCTGACGGCTTTTATTACTACCTCACATTTGGATTCGGACTGTTCGAACGCCGTCATGACCGCAGCAATACGGGAGTATTTCTCCACGCCAGGGAAATTTAATGATATCCACACTTCTTGCTTCGGGGCACGGATGGAGTTTTCTTTGGTTCTCGAAGGCAGGTTTAGGATTCAGGGCTGAGGGGACGTCTTCACTGTCGTTGCGAGAGCGCGATCTCACCTCGTCCAACCATGAGGTGTTGAGGGCGGTTCAGTTCAATCTTGTGGCGAGGTTTCTGCAGTTGGTTAGAAGTAGGACGAGTCATACGTGACAGGATGACGACTGAGCACGACGCTGAAGAGCATGGTACTTGCGCATGGAGTCATTGCGGGCGAGATGGAATTCCAAGTTTAGTGACGCTGCAAATATCTCATGGATGGCCCAGCCCATCCTTTGTATCTGAACAAAGCCAAGCCGAAACTTTTATAAACCGTGGTGCCCTAACAATGTGATAATGATATATACAATGTGGTATCAAGCTCTGTATAAGGGCGTGCCAGACTACTTATCAGGTCTGACCCGCTCCTTCTTCCCATCCTTCTTTTTCTCGGTTTTTGCACCTTTACTTTGAGTCCCCAACCATGCGCCTCACCTTCTCCAGCAGCAGCGCGCTCTCCCTGCCCAGCCTGCGCTGCCCGCCGTTCTCGGACCCCTTGCGCGCCTTCGCCATGGCCCGGCGGTACCGCTCGCGGTCGGCCGTCTTGCGCTCGCGCTCCTCGCGGCGGCGCTGGATCTCGGCGCGGCGGGCCTCGGCCTCGGCTTTTTTCTTCTCGGCGTGGGCGAGCTGCTTCTCGTAGTAGCCTGGTTTGCGGGGTCTGCGCTGCTGGCGGGGTTCGTAGCGGTCGCCGCCGGCGGTGTCCTCGTTCGCGGCGGCATCGGCTGATTCTTCCGCCGCGTGCTTGCGTTTGACGGCGATTGTGTTTGGGTTGGGGGTTTCGCCATCATTTTCGAGCATTTCTGCGCGGGAGGGGTGGACTTCTTCTTTTGAGGGGTGAGGCGTGGTTGTTGCTGTTGCTGTTGCTGTTGTTGGCGGTGTTGGTGTTGATGAGAATGAGGATGTGCTTGTCTCTACTGCTGATGATGATGCGGTCGCCGCTGCTGGTGCTGAAGTTGGTGCGGGAGATCCCGTCTTGCTGGAGGGGTCCTGGAGGGAGTCGAGCTCATCTTCGCTTGAGATGTCCTTTGCCAGCGCGGCGGCGGGCTGCTGCGCATTTGAGGAGGAGGAGGAGGAGGGCTCCCGAGAAGCGAGTTCTCGCTCCTTGATCTTTGCGTAGGCCTTTTTGATCTTGGCCTTGTGGATGAGCTCGATTTTCTTCTTTTCGACTATGAGGGTGGAGATTAGTGAATGATGATCATGTGAGAGGTTCAGGGACGTGTGAGCTCATTACCCTTTCTACGCCATGGACCTTCAGGGAGGGTGTTTGGTCCGAAGCCCTTGCGCTTCTTGACTTGGTGGTCTTTTGAGGAGGATGTACCCTCGGCGGCGCGTTTAGGAGCCATGATTTGGGATGGTGGTGATGGTGAGTGAGAGAGAGACTGGGATGAGGCGAGGATCGGTCAAGCTGTCGGAAACGAGCGAGGCGCGGTGTCCCACCCTGGATAAATGAAGTTTCGAATGAACTGGGCGCTTTTAATTTGCCTGGATGGTGCGGGTGCGATTCGTTTTGCACACGATGTATGTGTAAGATTCCTGTATGAGAGTGAGAAAGGTTGATGAAGTCGATGAAGCCGATTGAGCAAGGATGAAATTTTAGGTGGATCCTGCGATGAGAGGTTCGAAAAGGTGAGACGAAAGTGGCTTAGCGCGTTTTTGTTGCTGGCCAGTGGGAGCACGGTCCGTGTCGGACGTTGTGGGCTGTGGACCCTTCCCGGCTCCTGGTTATCGGACCTCACATTCCGGTATATACTAAGGTACCTAAAGGCAAGCATGAACAACCCAGTCTGCGAGAAGGAAGCCTGTAACATATTCTCGAGAGCTAAATATACATGTGGATTGGCTTACCTTCAAGCTCTTAACTACGGGCAACGTTAAGAACCCCTTATGAGCCTCTCCTCTCAGAGCGTCCGGTCTCTTCGAGGCACCGACATCTGGCACCTCGTTACGAAGATGACACTCGCATTCGGAAAACAGGACGATTTTTTATCCAAATAGTACTTCATCAAGAAGATAAAGCAGGCTTTTTCATGCAATACAAGATACGTAAGCTGAATGATGAATGTGATGAGGAAGTTTCTCTGAATCCAGATTCAGATCATAAGTAGACGTTTCCAAGAGAACTAAAGGATGTGGTCGCAGCTCAGTTCGGGATGGCGCTGATGCACCTAGGTAAGAAGAATTCACCCATCAATATACTAGTAATAATATGTCAAGAGTATTGTATCTGTTAGATACAGATAGAGGACAAAAAAGAGTTCACCACCGGTGTGGCTACATCTCTTAGTGCTCATGCTGGGAAATTTCTAGTGCTCATTCCGGGACTCGAACTCGTGATCCTCGTATACGCTGAGCCTGTCGTCGAGTAGGCTGATTGGCGATTTGAATGTTGACCTTAGACCACTCCACCACCCAGCCAGTTTGACCTGACCCGTCGACCTAGACGGGCGCCTGCTGGTTGGTGACGGGAATGGGGTTGAGGGGGTATATATGGGATACCTCGCAATCCCTCGATACGGATGCTAGCCTGCGACCTCTTCGACAGTATTGCGTCCCCATCAATACTACTAGGATCAGCCATGTATTCATTAACCTTGGACATTTACCTCGCAGCAGCACACATCGATATGGCTTCATAGCAGAGTCGAATCAATCACACTCATTGAAACCCCATCTACATACCATTCGACGACCAGAACAGAAAACGAGTACTTGGAACCACTCGTGTGAATATACGACTCAGACCCTTCGCCTGACGATATTGTACTCAGGGCAAGTGGCAAAAATCGAACAACCCACTGACGTGATTCTCCCTCCTTGTCGGTCAAAGTACGTAGCCTGCCCCTTTTGCACAAGAACGAATAGGTGTTTAATCGTGTAAAGGTTCTTCTCGGACTTCTAATCTAGCAAGCTCTGCTACTCGTTCCGAGCAAAGATTCTATGCACTCGCGGTCTGTGTAATCGCTGCACACTTCTATCAAGAATACCATACACGCCGCCCATCCATCCTAATCACAAAAACCTCACCAAAAACAAACGCAATCCCCCATACCAGACCTCTCACACTCCCTAATTTCTAGATCAAAACCCCTTCAAAGCTTCTCAACCAACCTCACATACAAACTCTCCGCCCTCGCCAGCACCGCGCCCCCCTCATCCTCGATCCTCGCATCAATCCACCACTTCCTCCCGACAACTTTCGTCACCTCAACAACACACAGCACCGTCTGCGGCGTCCTCACGGGCTTCACATACGTAACGTTCAAATACGCCGTCATGTACGCCGCGTCGGGAATCAACCCGTTACTCTTGTTGACAGGAAACACGAGCCCAATCGTCTCATCCAGAATCGTGGCGACGATGCCGCCGTGCGAGACGTCCGGGTACCCGTTTATCCCGCTGCGGAGCGTGAGGAGGGCTTTGAGCTGGCGGATGATGGTGGGGCCGGCGTCGTCGTCCTTTGGTATGTCGGAGGTCAAGGTACTTGAGGATGCTGACGACGACGACGGCCGCTTGTAAAAGGTCAGGTACGCGGCAATCGTATCCGTCGTGTTGAGGGTCGTTGAAAAAAGCTGGTCCTCAGTGTTTTGTTTGGGGAACCGCGAGGGCGCTGTGTCGCGGACCGTGTCTGGTTCGTTGAGGTGCGCCGCGCACCAGGGGAAGGACAGGAAATGCTGGACGTCTGGGTTCGCCGACTTCATTGTTGCGGTCTGCTGTCCCCTATCCTTACGAGCTTAAAGCTTATGCCCTTTCAAAATCTTTGGATACTGTCGAATGTCACGCGTAGGCAAGTGACCCAATCTTGACGACATGTACTATTGAAATTGAAATGGGCGACTTCGGAGTCCAATGGTTTTGATGGAGACCCGGTTGGTGATGAGCTGTGGGTGTTCTTTGAGTTCCAGGTTGCGAGCTTCAATTGAGTTGGAAAAGAGCCGAGGTCTTTTTTTTATCAGATCGGGCCCGTGCGTTGGCATGCGGCATGTCACCACATCCACGTAAGGTAAGGTAGTTGCGGGTAGCCTTATTGGCTGTCAGGGTGGCTGCTACCTTAAACTACAAGAAACATGGGACGAGCAATAATAGACTCGACAGTTCCCTATTGGCGGTTCTCACCACAAAAGTTCAATCAAGGAATTTTATAGGTTTCTCCTGGAGGTTCGGCGGTGGCAGGTTCATCCCATGCCTTGATCTGCAACCAAGGTGCTTACCTGCTTACATTCACAACTACCCACTGACACGCAAGGCTTGTGGATATAGACACTTTACTACAACATTGTCCTCTCGTCTTTACAGCATGTATCGAAACCCCTCGCTGGCCGTCCTCTTACGGCCCCCAGATCCCACCAAGCCCTCCTCTTCTTCGGTTTCGCTACCGACGGCGCAAGCGACGTCTGTCTTGCGGTTCAAGTAGGAGAGGTAGAACCTCAGAGACAGCGCCAAGACAGCCACGGCGAGCATCGCACCCGCGCAGGTCTGCATCCCAGGCGCATAGAAAGGTGCGTCTCGATCCGGGTATAACCTCGTCCCCACAAGCGGTCCGCATTGCCCAATAATCTGCATCAGGGCGAACCCCCCGCCCTGCCTACTCTCGGACGCTTGGTTATTGATGCTCCATGCCACGGTGAGCGTTACGACGTTGAAGAAGCCAATGGCCGCCGGGTACACTGCGAGATACCGCAGCAATGGCGAGAGACCGATGGGCTTTGCTAGGGCGAGCGCGGCGTATCCGCCGGCCGATGCGAGGGCATGCAGTATGATGGGAATGGACCGGGTTTGCGCCCGATCCGATAGATGCGCTGTGAAAAGTACGGCAAGGAAGGCCAGGAAGTATGGAGGAGCACTAAGGCCTTGCGATGCGAGGCGAGAGTGGCCCATTTCGGTGAGGATCTTGGGCAGGAATACGGGTAGGGAGGAGTACGCCATGTTGGTAAGAAAGAACATGGCCGCGGTCAGCAACGCCATGGGATCGCACAAGACAGCAAACGCTTCACCAAGGTTGAGATTGCTATGACCCTTTCCCCCATGTTTCTTCTGGCGCGGCTTCTCGCGTCGAAGTCGAAGGCGAGCCACCTTTTGCTCCCGCGCAGTGAGATAACGCGCCGTATCCGGGCTATCGGGAATGATGTGCCACGCGGCTACGGCGGCGAGAACGGATGGGAAGCCCTCGACGAGGAACAAGAGACGCCAAGGGGCTATGGGTCCAGCCTCTGCATAGTTGGTGATGAGCCAAGCCAAGGACGATGCGAATGTTGTTGCCAACGGCGCGGCTGCCCATAATCAGTCGGTTGGAACGGTCGTCTGGAATGACGAGATACTGACCGGAGATGAATATAGCGGTACGAAATGCTAGTTCCTCTCGTTTGAAGAAGAAGGATAGGTAGAACGGTATGCCTGTGAAGCCGGCCTCTCCGATACCCAGCAAAACCCGAAGGAAAATGAGCGTAGGGTACGAGACGGAGACGGACTGCAGCGAGGCAGTCAGTCCCCATGAGAGGACAATCATGGAGACGTATATGTGGGCAGGGATGAGCTTCCATAACAGCGACATCCACTCAAAGAAGATGTACGAGATATAGAAGGCCGTCAATGTCCACTCATACCAACCGTCCCACGGAGGATTCGTCTGCAGATCCTCGTCCATACCAGCTATGCGCGCATTGCCAATATCTGGAGAGGAGGGGCTGTCAGTAGGTTGCAAGATCACATGGCCGCGGCTCAAGGTATGCCATACTAGATCGATCCAAGAAACTGAGCATGAATAGCAGTGCTACAAAAACTACCAGCTTTCGGTCGTGCTTGCGAACAACGGACCTCTCCTCGTCAGGGGTGTAAAGCTGGAAGCTCGCGACGGTGCTGGTGCTAGCTCTTCTCCGCAGCGACGGCACTTCATCACCCCATCCGTCGTCAGTATCCTTCGCAGGTGATGCACTTAGGCTCTTCAGCTCGTAGGCCTGGCCACCGCCAAGCTGTGCCTCATGCAAATGCAAGTCCTCGACATCATCATCGTCGTCGTCAGGGTCGAAATCGAGGTCGCTGTCGAGACTGAACTCGGCCGTGGTCTGCGCAAATGACGGTGACGCTTCGCCAGAGCGATTTGAACGGCTAGGTGTCTGAAGCCTCGAGGATTCGGCCATTACCACAGGGAGGGGAACGTCATGCGTCCCGTCAGAGTCGAGGACACACGGTCACCTGGGGACTGTTCTGCAGGCAGGAGCAATTTAAGTCATGGAATTGGATGCTGTGCAGATGTTTGGCTTGCAGGCCGTAGTCCGCGATGAATGCAGGTCTTCGTTCCGCCGCATTGAAGGTGGGTGTTGCTGATGGAGCTAGGTTAAGATTGATGTCTTGAAAGAGCGAGCTGGGCGCGTTGCTACTGAAATACGTGGAACGGTGGAAGGATGATCGAGAGAGGTCCCACGACCAGTGACGTATCTTGGCAAGCTAACCCCTGCTCTACTCCAGCTGTTAGTGAAAGGGAAAGCTGCGGATCCTCCAAGGTGTCATTGCGGCTGGGTTTAGCGGATTGCGGGTTGCGGGTGTCGGGACGATGTGCGGCAAGATATTGGAGCAAACAGGGATAAAAGATGAAGACTTTAACAATCTCCCTTTCTCTCTCTTCTTCCTCTCCTTGTCTGTTTTCAATGAAGTAGTCAATTATACAAGTAAACGCCTTCGCTTTGAAACCGTGTCTACTAAAATGCGGCGTAGGCGTGCGGATGGTTCGCTTAAAACGGAGGATGCCGTGGCGTGTCGTACCTAAGACAGCACACGGTACAGTGGTACAAATACAGGCTCAGGTCGTGGAGAGCTGCCTCAAGAACGCTCACCATTGAGCTTCTAATAAATGTCATAGATCATGGCCCTTCTTCCCGAACAGTCTTCCGAGGCCGCCTCTCTATGGATCATCGCCCTTCTTTCCGAATAATCTTCTGAAGCCGCCGCCCTTGGGTGTCTTTGGCCTAAAGTCCATTGAAGGTTTGCTTTGTAGTGTTGGCGTCTCCTTTTCCGTCCAATTGCCAACCATGTTGGGATGCTGGGGAAGTGTGCCGTAGGGCAGACCCGCCTCCTTTGGTGAGAGCTGTTGCGGCGACATGGCTGCTGCGAACTGACTCGCTGGTACGCTCGACACGTACTCACGGGGTGATGCCCCTCCTCTCGATGTTGAAGGACCTGCACTGCGGTCGCGGGGCCGGGGTGTCGCGTTTTCAGCCTCCCTATCCAACTCCTCCTCTTCTGCCCTTGCCGCACCCATGTCTTCAGGGAAATCGCGCACCTCGTCGCCGCATACCACAATGTACCAGCGAATATCCTCTCCTCGTTGAAGCTGATCTCTCAGCTTTTCGAACCAGCCAGCCTTCTTCCCTGACGAACTCTTCTTCGCCTTGTAGAATTCATCGCTAGGGGCGCTTGCCATCGCCTTGGTCTCGCTCAGTCGTTCTTCGTACCGCATGATCTCCTCCGTTATTGAGTTGCTCAGATCAATGCGTACTACGTGGTCGGCAACATATGCGTAGGGACGGCTGACATAGCTTAGATCAGTCGGGTCATACTCCTCGAGCAGCTTGACAGCACTCCAGTCGTTCTGCAGGACATCATCCTCCTCTGGCGGCACGGTCGAGGCTGGGACATCGTATTCGTTGCGCAGTGCGGCGGCTTTGGATGCTTTGGACTTGTTGCGCTTCTTCTTGTCACGTTGGGCCTCGGTTTCGTCGGGTATGGGCTCGGGAAGGAAGTCGAAGAGAGAGTAGAAGGACTCGAGGATGGCAGGAGACGAGTTTGGCGCAATGATCCATTCGGGGGCAGCATCGTCGATGTTCTGGACGACGACAAAGACGCGGATGCTTCGACGGTCCCAACGAAATCCGTGGCAGAGGTAGGTAGGCATTGTGGGTAGTCGCGATAAAGCTTGGGATGGGCGGGGAGGGGTTGTGGAAGATAGGACGAAGCGGTATGTGGCGGGGCCTAAGCAGGTAGCTCAGGGGGAGACGGGAACGATAACGAGCGCAGATCGGTGGAGAGCTCCGAGCTAGGGGTCGGATGAGAGCTTCTATTTGCCAAAGTCGAGATCGAGTGTCGTCGCTTGCCCGGGTTTGTCGTCATTCAGCGGCGTCGAGGGCGAGAGATGTGTTGTTGGCTGAGGTGAGCAGGTTGGACGAATTAGACAGCCCAAACCCGCCAGAGAGGTGGAAGAGGCGTAGCGGGTGATGGGTGTCGTACGTCCTATCGAGAGGAGAGGCGCGTCAGGGAGTACAAGACCCGAGACGGGGTTGAGCCAAAGTTGGAGATGGGAGAAGCTGGCAGAAAGACAGATAGGGGTCAGGTGCTGTGAATTGCCGGTTCGACGGTGAGTTGAACGGTACGCAATGCATTATTCGAGCTGTAGTCGAGGAAACATAGCTTGTCGCATCGCACGCTGGGCTGCGGCGCACCTGACGCCCAACGAAATATTGCTCCTTGGGGGGGCAAACAAAGACTGGGGAGGTCGAAAGCGGCGTAGCCTGTTGGAAGGTGAAAATGGAAAGGCGAAGTGTGAGTGGCCACAAGTCAATGGATAAAGTGCAAATCGGGGCGGGAAAAGCAAGAAAAGAAGAGCAAGATCAGGCCAGGCGAAGAGACAGCAAGGCGTGAGGCAGAGGAATGTCGACAAGTGAGAAAGGGAGGCTGAAGGTGACTGGACTGGGGAGCTGCGCTGCTGGAGGGAAGGGACGGGAAAGAAAATATGCCAATAAGAAATGGCCACCCAGGATCTGGCAGGCGCCACCATCCGGGACGTGTGGCCGGGAGAGAGAGAGAGAGAGAGCTCTTCCACTATCCGTACCTACCTTATTACTAGGTAGGTAGGTACGTAAGTATGTACGTTCTGGGATCGCAGGTTGGCTGTTGTGTGTGGCTTTTCCCATGCACCCTACACAGCAAAGTGTCTGATTCTTCAAAGATCCTTCCTTGCCTCCGTTCCCTCACTGGAGGCTCAAGATTCTGGGGCTGTCTGTGCTCCGATGGAGATCATGGGGGCTTAGCCACGGCCTTGAGTGCCATGGTCCATGGAACACGGGAACAGGCCTTCTTCTGGACACTGCAGACTGCTAGTGCCTCGCTTTCGAGTGCATCAGATGTCACTATTTTCGTGACCATCCGCCTCGGTTCGAATCCATCTCAACTCGATCGATAGTAAATCAAAGTATATGCCAGCAACCCATCCTCGAGACCCGGTACCTTGCCTTATATATTCCCCGTACGGATAGAGACAGACAATGGAAGATCTTCACAGCAATACCTACCGAAAGCTATGACATGCATGAAACTAGCACCCCCGGAGCTGTTTCCCGACCCTGAATCCCCCCTCCAGTCGCAGGCAATTGCTGGCTTTAGGTAAGCAATTAAGGCCCACTCGGCATGCTACCTCACTCTGCGTTCCGTTCTTGCGACTTGCGGCTTGCCTCAATTCCGAGCTGAACCTTGATTGCCTTTGTCAGTTGCAACCGAGGTTTGAGTTGGATTATCTACAGGTAGGGCGCACTATTAGTCCTATTAGTTGTGTTCCTTCCTTGGCATCCAACTCAAGTTGTTGAGACGACAACTCCTATACGGCGTTTACGAAACCGAGACTCTATAACCAGCATCGACAAAGCCATCAATCTTAGCTTTGCTATCCATCTCAAAACAGACAGGATAATTACTTGATAACTTTTGACACCAACTTTCAACCTTTGCCCACAGACAAGCTGCAAGAAGCACTCGCATTCGAACCCAAACCACCGGCGGCCAATCAACAGCCGCAACATGATTTGAGATTCGCGATGGAGGCATACGTGTTCAGCACAACTTTACTGACGGCACCGGGTTTCAAGCCGTCTTGAAACTGGCCAGAGGGAACTAGAAAGCTTAATCCCTGCGCCCGGCAACAGTCCAGAGGAGGACGTCCCGAAGCATTCGTATCCAAAGTTCGAACAGGCGGGGTAACAAACGCAGCCTTGCCTTGTCATGCCACTGTCTTGTTTGTCTCGCGCGGCGCGTTTCCGACGACAGAAAGCTGTCAAGAAGCCCGGCTGACATTTCATCCCTCCCGGCCCGAAGCTCACATGCGACTGCGGCATCGCGCGCACAGTCTCGACCTTTCTCGGATGTTGTCACAGGATCGCGGGGTAGATTGGCCTTTGGCACGCGGCGGTATACCATATTATTAGCGGCAATGATGACTGAACACCAAGGTGCCATGTCTTGATCTGCTACATGGATGCTACTTTACTCCATCGTAGCTTTCATCCCATCACTTGATGTGCCGATCACCAAAGAGTACCACACCCCACAAACGCCGCTCCAAGCAACATCAACATACTCGAAGCTACACTAGTCGCCGCACCCGATGCCGCACCAGTCGCCGCCGTGCCTGTTGCCGTGCCACTTGCCGCACCTGTCGTCGAGCCCGTTCCCACACCCGTTCCCGTACCAGTTGCGACACCTGTCTCCGCAGGTAACGACGAACTTGAGCTCCCCGTGACAAGAGAACCGGTGTAAGGCGCAGGGCTTGTGAAGGGCGAACACGTTCCGGTCGCACTTCGAGAACTCATCAGAGACATTAGAGACGAAGCTTCCCAAGCCCCAACGTACTCGGATTCCGTGAGTATCGGGTGGACTGCCTCGACCTTCTCCAATCCTGCAGTAATGGCCACAACGACAGAGCGCGCCTCCACAAAGCATGTGTTGACGGCGAGCTCCTCATCCACAGTCCCGGTCCTGAGCGAGGGGGTTGACGTTGATACGTGGCACCGTCCATACTGATCTGAAATCACGGGACGGCCGCCAGTGCCGAGCCGGCAGTCCCAATATTTCACGATGCCGGACGTGGCCGTATTGCTTCCGACCCAGCTAGAGCCCTCAATGTGGGTGACGTTGGCCGGCCAGTAACCCTCCTTTTGGCAGGCTGCATCGGCCGTTGGGCACACAACTTGGTATGTTGCCGTCTCGCGCTCGTACGCAACGACAGATGCTTCGAGACTCCCGGTCGGATGGGTATCATAGATAAAGAAAGCTCTAGCGGATGATGTAACTCGAGGAGCCTGCACGCTGGAGGTCGATGTCGCGGTCGTTTGCGCGTCGACGAGAGCCAATATCGCCGAGACGGCGGGAAGGAGCGACAACGTCTTCATCGTAACAGAAGGATTGCTCAGGGCGTGAAGTTTAATGATGTTTCCGGGAGCCGGGCGGAGGTACTTGTAAGTTGCAGGTGTTGTCTTTCACATAGTAACTCAAGCTCAGAGCGACGAAGCGGCCCCCTTTTAAATGACTTTTCGATGAAGCTTGGCAAAAGAGTTGGTTGTGACTTCAGTTAAGTCTGCCTTAAACCAACGGGGGTCGCGAAGCGAAAGGGACTTCTGTGCGGAGGAGGATATTCTTCCAGCCATTGGGAAGACTGTGTCTGACAGGGGCCCAATGTAGAGGTGCAGGACCAAGAGCTTAATTGAGATATGCTCATGGGTCCGGCGATGAAGGAACAAACCCTAGGAGTGCGAATTGATGTTGAGGTCATCCTAGCTGATTTCACGATACCAGCTTCACAACACGCTGGCAGGAGCATCTGTATCGACCCAGCTTGCGACTTGCAATGTCGGATGCAGACAGTTATAATCTCGATGACCCTGGGAGAAAATGGTCATCACCAAGTGATATTCTAAGTACTTACTTAGTTGTGAGGGGATAAAGGTGTTACCGCGACATCTATGGCTGCTTGTGCCGCTCAAGCTCGCCTGGGACGTTCAGGGAATTTCCAAGATGAGCCCGTCTGGACCTTCAAAAAAGAACAAGCTGGGCAGGGCAGATACCAACCACAATGGGAACAATGGCTCTCGAACCGTGGTGGCATAGCCTCTACTGTTGCTGCTGTGCCGCAGGATTACGAGAAATGAGGACGGCTCGTCACATGGTCTTGCTGACGTTTAAATGAGGTGAGGTCACCCTTTTATCATATCTCTGGAAGCAAGTTCCTCTCGGCTGGGTTGGGCCATGGGCCGAGCGTCGATGAGCAAAGCTCTTTCGCAAAGACTAAACAAGATTGACGAGACTCCCTCTCGGCGAAGACAATCCTTCTCCCCCGATCCGATGCGGATGTTGAAAATACTCATGATTAGTGATTCTCCTCGGGTTCTGTTGGCGAAATTGTGGTCTGCCTGGCGGTTAAGAACCCCAGCAGCTCCTCCGAGGGGCGATTGGACGGCTGCTTCGTACGGCTGAAAGAAGCTTAGTCGGACCGCCGGGGGTTATCCTGCTAGAGGCGCAGACTCGGCCAGGGGTGGGGATGAGCTCAGGCCAATCTCTCAGGGCCATCCCAGAAGAGAAGCCTTTTCCCGCTCTTGGATTATTTGGTTGTCCATGCGTCGTATTTCTCTCCCTCACAAACCGCTCAGAGTTGGGTCTTGGAGAGGATATGGATGCTTGCTGGTTCATCAGCAACGTCTCAACGTCTGTCAACGAAAAGAGTCGATAAAAGATCGATCTATACATCTCCAAGACTCGAACTTCTACGTAGTAAGCACTGCCTGCGGGCGTTGATGGACCATACCACCCCAGTCCACGTCGGCGACTACAGGGTATCGTGTGTTGATCTACTTCCCCTTTCAAAATTTCTGCATCTTGCCGCAGGCGCTGAGCAGAAACCTCCATCTTTTGATTTCGGAGTTCTTCAACATCCGGAAGAAAGCCTGTGGGTGATAAGTTGATAACCCCACAACTACGGAGTACACTGTTCCACCCTTTCGCCCAGAGATAGAGATGAAGATAGCCTTTCATCTCCTCTTCCCCTCTGTCTCCATAACGAACGTGGTCACGCACACACCAGTAACCACACACACCAACCAGCCTGGCAACGGGAGCGCCCATGCCCTCAAGAAGCGCGAGTTCCTGAGCAAACGGGCGGACGAGGCAGCCCAGCGGTCCAGCCCAGGAGAGAATAGAGATGGTGGTGCGGCGTGCGGCGTGCGGCGTGCCACCTTTCCATCCACGGGAAGGGCTTGCCGCTTCGGCCCTCTTGCTAAAAACGATCCCAGGCGCAATAAGGCGCCGCAACGGCGTGGTTGACTATGTCTACTAGCTAGTCCCTTTCATTCAACCTTCTAATCCCGGACCCTTTGCTAGCGTTCATCTTGCCTTACTTTATACGGATGCCCATCTTGAAAAAGCAATTCGGTTTTCCCATTGACGAGGTAAACCTCAGATCTGGCGGCCATCGACAATTGAGAATGTGCGGAATCATGGATACGCTCAGCGTTGCAATAGGCAATCAATTGTAACCTCACCAATTCAGCCCGCAGGCCCGCCGTTCCCACAGACCCTGTTATTGGGTAAGTCGAATGTGGTAGCAATGTAGCATCCATGGGTGGCCCTTGTCAAACTGTGTCCCACAGCTGGTAAGCACTAGCAACCCAGAGAGCACAATGTCGTGATGCTCATTACTGAGTTGGCAATCTCTCTGCTTTGTCAACTTTGACTATACTACCCCATTGGTTCCTTTCCGCGGATCCAATTGTTCTGGGAAATCATTGATGCCAATCCATGAGGCAATGGTCCTTTTGAGGCAAGTTTTTCCCTCCTTAAGAGAGAGAGGCAGAGGGCGTGATAGATATCTTCTGCCCATCTCGTACCCGACTAAAAGAAGCGCATAAGAGCTGCCTGGGGCGATCCGCTCGCCTGCATGGTATCATTAACGCTTGTCTCTCCCGCAGAAGACGTATCCGGTGCCGGGACACATTGTGGCCAGAAATCACAAACATGTGTCTTTGCTGCGCCGAGCTCTCCAACACCAAGTCTCCCAAGGGGCAACGGCGCACAAACGCTCCTGTCAAGCTTTCGTGGCTGGGGCTTGTGCGACTCTTGGTGTGCTCCTCGCGGCTAACCCATGCGAAGGAAGCGCCAACTGGGAGCTATTTTACATGTTACTGCGTACGCTACGGAGTACAAGCTTCGTTTCTTAAAATCCTACGAACCACGGCAAATTTGAAAGGAGAGAACTTAGCGCCCACGTAGGCAACTGGAACCCTGCAAAGCCTCAGCCCGTCAGCTCCATCACCAATGGTGGTTGGTCCCGTCTGAAGTTTCTTCTTCCTCACCTTCTTCTACTTGTCCTTGGCCCGTCAGCCATCCACCGGTGCCCGCAGCGGTGGTGGTCTCGACCCCGTTCTTCGGGACCCCTGCAATATCTATCTTCTTACATACGCGAGAGTGTGGTCGATTCAAGGATTGGATCCGGCGACCCGTGCTGGCCCCCCTCTACTAGTGTAGCAAGCTAGGTAGCCATGCCATGCCCTGCTCACTCTCACTCTCACCATCACGCTCATCACTCCGTGGTAACTCTTCGCCCAGACGTTGAAGAGAGTTCAACCATCAGCCCAAAGGATGGGTAACATGGGGGGCCATTGCCCGGAGTCAGATTTTACTGCAACGCTAGACTAACATGTCTTTCCACCCGTGGCCACTCCAGCTCCTTCGTTGATCTACCTCCTGCTCCTCCTCCTTCTCGATCCCAGCTCATGCTTCTCCCGTCCCGCACCTTGTCCAATCCTTCCGGCTCTTTTCTGGTGCCTGTCTGTCTGTCCCTCTCTCTCTGCCTCTTATGAGTACAGTCAAGTACTTAAAAATGGCTCCCAGGGTAAGTTCCCCGCTTGGTTGCTTTCCCCTTCCTCTTGGCTCTCCTTTCTCTCGGTTTTTCCCCGTCTCTTTTGGTTTCTTCACAGCTTCACCAAAGATCTTATTCGATCCACCGAAAAACTGATCATGGCTACAACACAGCACCAGTACGATGAAGGCCCGGAGCTGGCACCTCAGCATCAGTACCCCGAGGTCTACCACCCGCCACCCCAGCAGTCGTACTCGGCCTCGCCACAGCCAGAACCCGTGACGCCGATGAAGCAGGAGGGCTCGACGTACGGGTACCCGGCCTCCGGCGTCGACCAGTCCGTCTACGGCGGCAACCAGTACCAGAACCACGCCGCCGGGGAGACTGCCCCTCAAAAGTCCAGAAAGACCGTCTGCGGCTGCACGTTCCTCGTCTTCCTCCTCTCCGTCATCATCGCCGTCTTGGCGGCCGCCGTCATCGGTCTTGCGGCCGGCACCGGCGTTGAGGCGAGCCGGGCCAACAACGCGATCCAGGAGCTGGCGGCCATGTCGGCGTCAGCGACGAGCGGCGGAACGACGGCGACGACGACGGTGACGGTGACGAGCGCCTCAGCGACGGCTACGGGGTTCAACGCCCTCACCAACGGCTGCACCGACTCGAGCGAGACGACGACTGGCCAGACGTACACGACTGACTTTTTCGGCAAGAAGACGTTCACCATGTACTGTAAGTAGTGCACCTGAGAGATCCCATCTCACTTTTTGCGCATTACTGACATGCCACCTCAAGGCAACAAAAACGCACCCAACTCGCCGTTGATGTCGCTCTTCACGGCAAACTTTGACAACTGCATGGACGCCTGCGCATCCTTCACAAACTATGAGCCCGGGTTCGAGGGCAACGCGTCGTGCACGGGTGTCAGCTTCATCCCGCTGTGGACGACGAGGGCGGGCGCCGTCGAGGGCAAGGCGCCGGGCAACTGCTACCTCAAGCCGGGGAACCAGACCAAGGGGAACTTGGAGACGCCCAATATCGGGACCGAGTGCCATGCCGCCATCATGAGCTGATTTTTTTTTTTGGTTTTCCATCAAACCTAATGAGAGTCAAGTCCAGGCCTCACTTGTAATTTGGGATGGCGTGGCGCGGGGCGTGTTTTGTTTCTCATTCTATATACCACTTATCTGGAAAAGATTATTACGTGTACTATGTGGACACAATTTTTGGGGCGTCAAAAGGATATTTAAAGCATATGGGCAGGGCAAACATACTTGCCTGGAAAGTCAAATGGCATATGAGAGAATTCTTCCCTTCAGCCCACTGTGTCGACGCAAGTCTTACACGATGCTTTACGTGCAACAGCATATCTCACGCCTCGGGTGGTCTTTAGGGTGCATTGGATCAGATGATTCGATGATGGGAGTGATGCTTGAGTCTGTGATAAGGATGTTTCCCGAATTTGCAACCATTCGACGCATCGGATTGAATGAGAGCGATTGGGAAGGAGTGAGATTTCGGTACGGCTCAGACAGGGTTCTCAGATACGACTTTAGAAGGAGGCCATTGGGAAGCCAGAAGCCGTCGCGGAAAACGAAGCAACTTTCATACTAGAGACTTGGGGCTGTGTCTTATTTGGCATGCGGCATCTGAGGCATATGAGGCAGGCAAGTGTGCCCATGGAGAGAAGGATGCCACGGCCATAAGCTTTTCAGCTCAACTCATCATGATGAATAAGACGACAATCTCACAAACTTCAATCGGTGCATCTTATACAGCGTTAGGTTGAGTATGGAGAGTTCCCGCGGACTCTATAGTCGAACTCGTGAGCTCTTTATGTTTTCCAGCCGGTAGACTGGCCGCCATCAGAAACAGACAGTGAGTATCGTCACAATCACAACATTAGATATCAATTCCATCGTCAATTCAAATTGCAGCTGAATAAAGGACGACCCAGGGAAACTTCTGATGATGGATTCAAGGAAGTGATTAGAATCATGTTACCATCCATTCCGTCCGACTCAGTTACTTTATTGCCGTGGCTTCGAGTTAAGGCGCGTCCATAGTGATGAATGGGAGCCGGTATATCATGTTGCGTGTATCAGATGTTTTCACATCCATTAGTAAGAAGTGAAGTATGTCGCATGTTCATCATCGAGTGCAGCGTACTCACGATCCCGTATCACATCGTAGCTTCTTTGGATTGAAATTGCTGCTTCGAGTTGAGCGCCAGCTTGGGGCATAGCATGAGCACTATGTATTCGAATCATGCGCCGTATCGTGTGATCTTCCTTGAAAGCCAGATTCCGTTGAAGCCTGTCTGTCATGACGGAAAGACTTCATCTTCGTTTTAAAATTAGCCATTTCTTGCTGCGTGGTCACTCTTATTCCAGACGCGTCGTAGGACGCTATCCCTCGCCATTCCTTTTCGAGGAGCTGAGCCCCCCGAAACTGGCTATCTCGTGGGCAAATGAGGACAGACATTCCACTTAGTTTGCATATGAGAAGCGCACTCACTAGAGCTAAACATTAAGTATTGCTAGAATGGGAGTGGCACTTGCCCGTGTTAGAATAACCCGACAAGGGTCTATCAAATATTTCCCCATCGGCAGGTGATAGCGCGATTCGCACGCAGACGAGCTGAACCAGACCCCCGGTATGGCCGGTCTCAGGCTCTCAGCTCAGGTCGATATTGACGTGTAAAGCCTTCATCAGCTCCAACGGAAGCCGCCACTGAAAGGTCTAGATTCGAGGTGAATGAGGAGAAAACGAGTCGCATATTCGTTGCTTGTCTAATTGCGTCGACGCAAGCCTGTCACAACAATGTACATAAAATGACGGCCGAATCCCTCGACGAACTCACCCAGCGGGCGGCTTGAGCATAAATCTTCTTCTCCTCATCGCATCTATATAATACCTTTATCGAAATTCCATCATGGTTGGATCACCTGCCACAAGACATCCTAACGGAGCCCGCCTCCTTGCCCTCGACGGAGGTGGCGTCCGCGGCGTCGTCTCCCTCATGATTCTACAAGAACTCATGCGCCGCGTCCAAGTGAGAAAGAAGCTGGAAAAGGAGCCTCTCCCCGTGGATTACTTTGAGCTCGCAGCCGGAACCAGCACAGGTGGCATCATCGGCATCATGCTGTTCCGACTTCGCATGACGGCCACCGAGGCCATTAAGCAGTACGACATCATTGCCACGGACGTCTTCAAGCCCAAGATATATGGCTGGAGCATTGGATTCCTCGGAGATACGCTCTCGTCCTGGGTTAACAATAGCAAGACCGTGGTGCAGAGTAGTCGTTTTGACGACGCGTCTTTGATCGCCGCCATCAATAGAGTTGTAGATGAACTCGGCTTGGACAAGGACGACAAGCGGTTGAAGGGGGAGGCTCTGCTTCAACATCCAGCAGCCGGCAAGTTGTAAGTCAATAAAAACTCCCATAACACCTCAGACTACGTCAAGATTCTAACGTTTGGAACCAAGGCTTGTATGCACAACGGCCCAAAACAGAGGCGAAACGGTTTTGATGAAGACGTACAAGAACACCAACATGTACACCAGTTCGACAGTAAACAACCTCATGAAGAGCCACGGAAACGAAATCACAATGAGTCTCGCGACGAGGGCAACTTCTGCCGCCCCGACGTACTTTCCCGAAGTCAAGTGGCCCGCGGGCGCAGAGAAGCCTCTCACGTTCTGGGACGGAGGACTCTTGAACAACAACCCCATCGATCAACTGTGGAACGCGCGGTACGATCTCGTTCAGCCGGGAGAAGCACAAGAAGGGGTCGAGGAGCCCAAGATCTCGTGCGTGATCAGTCTCGGCACGGGCTACAACAAGACGGAGTCGCCAAACGACTCTTGGTTCCGTCTCACGGGGGTCGCGGCGACGGTGATGGCGTTCGCTACCAATACGGAAGCCAAGGGTAAGGATTTTTCGAGGCACATGGCGGCGCTCAACAGCAGGCAAAAGGGCCCCAAGACGGCATATATCAGGTTCAACCCGACGCTCGGGGAAAACAAGATTGGTCTGGCGGACTATACGCAGATGACGCTGCTGAAGGAGCTTGCCACGAAGTACATCAACCAGGCCTCTGGGAATGAATATTTTGAGAAAGCGGTTGACGCGATTTGCTGTTAGAGTTAGCCTGTACATGAATGAACGTTAAGCAAGATTGAAACCAATGATTGCGAATGAATCGCACTTTCCAAAGCCTCGACATAAGACTATTTTCCTCGGTATTGTGTTTTGTTAGCTAGGCTCATCCGAGTCACTGCTGCAATGTTGACGGCCAAAACAACTTGGAGATACCTCCGCCTGGCCCGATTGATTCATTCTTAGGATCGCCGGTCTCGCTTCCTTCTTGATGAAGTCCAAGGGGACCCCATGGGACAGTTGTGATCATGCCAAAACTTGATTTTGAATACTAGAAATCCTTCCGGCCGAGTTATCCACTTCAAACCGCTACAGACCGATGGAAGCCATCTTCGGTCGGCTGAAGGGCCATCGCGCCGTAAGCTTTGACCTAGATAGTCCTCCGATTTCGCAGCCGTAATTGACAAAGGGTCCTGACAAGCGCCTTTGTTCGAGGCTCCGAGGCTCTCCTCGTACGGCAGTGGAGTCCGGAGTGGGTGAGCAACCCGGGTCTAGCGCACGCCGAGAACTTGGACCGACGGAATGGGTGGGTGGTCGTTTCGTATCTCGAGTTCTCGACTCATCCCCCAGGCCGGGGGAGCGGTCAGCGGTCGTCGGGGGTGCGGCTGACGGGCGGGCGGGCTTGCAAGTTGCAATCAAGCATTTTTCATGCCCACATGGACATGGGAGAGCCGCGGAGAAACAGTCGCGGGAAGCCTGGGAACAAAACGCGGAATCGGCTTCGGCTTGAGACCGCACCTCGTTCTCATATCAAGTCTGATGGTGTCGGTCTTGGTTGCCAAAAGTACCTGATAGTGGAAAGTCGCCTTTTCCACCTTTGACCGGCTAATTACTGCTGGCTGGGTAGATCCCATCTCTGCTCAGAGATTTCACAGGATTAACCTCTGTCATGGTCATATACCTCAACTCTGCCTCGACCTTGACTCACAAGCCGCTCATCTAGGTCCCGGCCGACACAACGACGTTGAAAGAAATCGTTGTGCATGGGTGTAAGACGGGAATGCGGTCTCTACGCCCTTGGTGTCCTTCAAGAGCCAAGGCGGCGCAGTTGCTCGTGGCTTGAAGTGTGGTGTTCTGGGTGGATGGCTGCAGAAGGCGGGTCAATTATTAATACCGGTTACACAGGACCATGTTGAGAAGGACGACATTGGCTGAACAGCCTGGGTAGAAGCACCCCCGTAGGGTTGGCTATAGTGTTTAGCTTCAGCGTTTTCTGGTGTGAACGGCCTTACCGTCAGACGGACATGTTCAACACCCCCATTGACTAGTAGCGGAACATACCATGAGATGGGTAGGCTGCGGAGTAACCTACTGCAGGCAAAGTTGCCAAATAGAAGAGCGAGCCAATGCTGTGATCTTCAGCTTATCGGCTGAGGGCGACGAGTCCATTGCATCCTTTGCAACCACCTCAGCCTTCTGAAATGTAGAAACAGCATGATGGTTCTAGAAAGCACCCTGCAAATTGCCTTGCCATGCTGTATCCGTATGCGTCCTAGTACCAAAGTTCCCAAGGATCTGTTCTGTTCGTACTTACGATATCAACACCCTCCTCTTGTGTCGATTGGCGACGATGAATGAGTCTGCGCAACTTGAGTCTAAAGCGATATTATCCTTGGGAGCATCTGATGTTAAGGATCTTTTTATCTTGACTTAAATCCCACAATGACATGAGAAGCCGCCGGCCAACTGACGGCGCCCTATCTCAGCTACTACTGCTTACACTCCGCATCCCCTCCGCCAGAACGCGAACCAGCCTTTACCATACGCAGACGCACAAGGAAGACGCCGGCGCAAGCGCAGACTCGTACGCAGTAGAGATGTGGGGGGTGATCCCTCCCCCCCGTCCGAAGGGTGTGCATAGTAAACTTGTCAAAAGACATGCGACTTGCGCCCTTCTGATGACACGACCCATTGTAATCCCGGTCTGGCGAGCCAACCATTGGTGACTCCGACTTGGACGCTTCCTCGAACGCCAGAATCCATCTGGCTTGATCCGATCTACTGAGCGAGGAGGATAGTCCTTTTGAATAAAAGATTTCGTCGCCTAGGACTCGTCTGTCCCGACTTGTACCCTTTTCTTTCTTATACCTTTTTTTCAATTTGCCTCCGTGGGACTTTGGATTTGTCACAGACTCCAAAGAGCCCGGGCCTAATCACCATCTCGACCGTTCTTGGTTGTTAACTTGTCGTTCAAGAAGATTACACGGAGCGGGGCTCACCGACGCCCTTCCGGTCTCTTTGACGACTGACAAGCACCATCGACATCGACGCGACACATTGGAGCACCACTACGCCCTATCGATCTGCAATTCCATCTGCAGGAGATCTCTCCCATGCCATTCACGCCCTTCAGGAAGTTCTCCAAATCAGCCCGCGCCCTTCATTAAGGGCCAGTCAGTACAATGACAACCATCCCCGAGGACACGGGCATGGACGAATTCGTCAACTGGGAGGCTGCCGCTACCGAGGTGGGCAACATCTTCAACATGCCCACTCAGGACGTGCCACCCACCGACCCCAATCTGGACCTGGTTTTGGAGAATGCCGACGATGACGATTTCGGATTCGTCGCCCTTGAGCACTTCTCTGGGGATCTTGCACCACCAGGAGCTGGTCTGACTGATGGCAACCCCCTCGAACTGATTGACACGCAACTGTCCAGCGCCCAGGAGGACTGGTGGTTCGCTCCCGAAACCCCATGCAACAACTGCATCCTTGGTGGCTATTCGTGCAAACAGATCAAGGAGGGAAAGTTCAAGTCATACTGTACTTCCTGTGTTGCTCTTCGCAGCGAGTGCAGCTTGGCCGAGCACTTGCCTGGCGGCCTGGCCGACCTCGACACATCTGATGCCATCCCTTCCCAAAACCCCTGGCCCATCATGGGTGACCATCCGCGCGCCGTTCAGGAAGATGACCACATGGACCTGCTATCATCTCTGAACGCTTGGCCGGCGATGGGTGACCATCCTCGTGGCACTCTTGAGGACAACGTGATCGCTGCTGGTCTGCCCGAGACATCGACACCAGATCTACTTAGAGGTATGACCGCCTCAGCCGAGCAGCCTGCCGTGGAGATTGCCCAAGCCAAAACAGCTACTCCGGCCAAAGTTGGCGCTCGTTTCTCTCGCGAGTCTGTCCGTATCTTGAAAAACTGGCTTTCCACCCACACACGTCACCCCTATCCGAGTGACGAAGAGAAAGAGATGCTTCAGCGCCAGACTGGCCTCAACAAAACTCAGATCACCAACTGGCTTGCCAATGCCCGTCGTAGGGGTAAAACGCAAGCTCCTCGCTCTACTTCTCCCCACCCGCGTAGCTACAGCGGTGCCATCGACATTCCTCAGAGACGAGGAACTCCGGCGCCGGACGGCAGAGTGCGCAACATGAATCCCTTGGAGCGTTGGGTTGACTCCCCGCCCGAAAACGAACCCGCTACTGTCTCTGCCATTGCTTTGGCCGTTGCGTCTAGTTCTAGAACATCATCATCAGGTATGACTCTTCCATCTGACTGAACAACATGCATCATGAAGCTAACCTCCTTCCAGGTCTTACGAGCCCGTACAGCTTCAACTTCACCGACGACGGATCGGGCAAATCTCTCTGCAATGCTTCCTCCGCCAGCTCTCTCGGAACGTCCCATGGAACGTCCCACTCCAGTGGCGGCTCATTCGCGTCTGCCTACTCCCATGCCTCTCGTGGCTCATTCGGGTCCTTTGGGTCTTTCAACCGCGGCCGTAGGCGCCGCAGGAGGCGAGTCGGCACCAAGGTCGAAGAGAAGACTGCTCTCGCCGCTCCTCCCAAAACCTTCCAGTGTACATTCTGTACCGAAAGTTTCAGGACCAAGCACGACTGGCAACGGCACGAGAAGTCTCTCCATCTTTCCCTCGAGAGGTGGGTGTGTGCCCCTGATGGGCCTGTAGCAGTCAACCCGGCGACGAATCAGCTCGCCTGCGTGTTCTGTGGGGAGGCCAATCCCGACAACGCCCATGTTGAGAGTCACAATCATTCGGCATGCCAGGAGCGGCTGCTCCAAGAGAGATGCTTCTACCGAAAGGATCATCTGAATCAGCACTTGCGCCTCGTCCACGACTGCAAGTTTGTCGATTGGTCCATGAAGGCCTGGAAGGTCGCTACGCCAGAGATTCGGTCACGATGCGGTTTCTGCGGTGTGGTCTTGGACAGCTGGGGTTCGCGAGTGGAACACATTGCCAACCATTACCGTAGTGACGGAAATACCATGGCGGACTGGAAGGGTGACTGGGGTTTTGAAGCACCGGTGCTCGAGATGGTCGAGAACTCGATCCCGCCATGTATGCACCGACCCCTAAGCTATCCCGTAGACAAGCTCCCAAAGTCTAACTTGTGGTAATACAGATCTCATTGACAATGAGCGCAACTCGCCCTATCCGTACAAAGCCAGTGGCGCCCCAGCCGAGACCCCTCGCAACGCGTACGAGCTGATCAAAATCGAGCTGGCATACTTTATGCAGAACCACTACGATAAGCACCAGACCCTACCAGACGACCGACAGATGCAGCTGGAAGCCTGTCGTATCATTTTCGCCTCTGAAATACTGTCGATCCGAGAAATCTCGTCCGAATTCTCCTGGCTGCGTGATCTGATCATGTCAGACGAGGAAGTCAAACTATCAGCCAAATACGGTCCTATTCGTCAAGCGGCTGAGAACAGGCTGTCTTCCTTGAAACTAGCCTCCAAAGATACCATTTTCCAGACTTGTCCTTTGGAAAATCAGCTCCACGAGTTCGTTAGAGCGAAGAGGCTACTGGGCCTCACCGCCATGGATGATGAGCTTCAGCAAACGGCAGCAGAGATTGTTGGACGTGTTGAGGAAGTCTCGATCAGTCCTTCGGATCACATTGCCAGTTGGCTCGTAAGATGTATCTTCTCCTCGACCAACTGGCTCGCCAATTTCCGGCAACGAGCCCATCTTCCCCGAACCGAGGACATCGTGGTGGTCAACGAGCGATCGACGGATACCACCAAAATCGACTCGACTATCCACAACTACAGCAGGCTGGAACACTCCCTGGCGGACTTCATGGACAAGCAGAGGGCTTTGGGGATCGAACCGGATGACGCAGCCCTGCAGCGCGAGGCCAGGATGGTTATTTACGAATTCGACGACGGCTGGAACCAGACCGCAGCCGACAACTTGGAGTGGCTCGCGGCCTTCAGACAACGCCACCAGCCCGTCTCTGCGTCGGGGTCGAGTATGACCACCTCGCCAGAGTCTCAGGGCCAACAATCGCTGCAGCATTCTGGCTCCGGTATTTCGCCTGTCAACTTCCAAGCAAACCTGCCTTCCTTCTTAACGGCCGACACGGCTGCGGCCTATCTGCCACCCGATCAGGCTGCACTGCCTCGTGGCGTCAAGACGGGTCCGTTCTTCTTGAACGACGCAAATTGCTACCGCCGTTTGGCGCGTACGTTGAAGAAATACACGGTGGCGGCCATGTCGGCTGATAACCCCCACCAACATACGCCGTCCGATGCCGAGCTACAACTCCAAGCACGCCTCATTCTATACGATGAGTAAGTTTCAATCCGGAGACCACAAGATACAAAGTACCGTGTAGCTAACCAAAGCCCCAACAGTGACGACCCATGGAACCAAACCGCAGCCGATAACGCAGAATGGCTGCGCCGCTTCAAGAGAGATGCTGGTATCATCGCGGAGCCCGGCCCCGGCCTCCCGCCCGGCGACGCTTGGTCCCTCGAGCAAGGCGGCACGGGCTTCGCGCCGCCCTATGCCTTCCCCAAGGGCGACATGGCCCCCTTTAGCGAGAAGACGACCGAGGTGCCGATCCGCAATGTCAAGTTCTTCCAGACGGATTCCACCATAACCAACAAGTACCTCGAGACCTTCAAGACGCGGTACCCGAAGCCCGCCACCATCTTTTGCGCGCGCGAGCTCGAGGACGGGCTGATCAAGTTTGTCGAGTCGGAGATTAGTCTGACGGGGTCGTTCCCCGACGACGAGGCGATCCGGGTCAAGGCGAGGATGATTCTCAACTCGGCCGAGACGGCCGCGGACGACCCTGTGTTGTTGGGCAAGTTCAAGGGGTGGATGATGACGAGGGGCCAGATTCCGGGCCGGCAGCAGCAGCAGGCGCCCGTGCTTGTCCGTCCGCAGCCGAGGCCGTTGCCCACGCCGGCGTCGACGGCGACGGCGACTTCTGCCCCAACGGTGTCGCCCGCTCCCGCTGTTGCATCCTCGGGCACCCCCGGACTGACGCTGTCGGACGCGGAGATGAATGATATCTTGCAGGATATGAACTTTGACCTGAGTGCGGCTGACTTGGAGGGTCTTGACGTGGCCATGGGGATGGATTTCGGAACCGGCGCGGGGCCTGCGTGATAATAGACCTAGAGGTGGCGGACGCAACTTCTCTGCTACGTTCTCTACACATGACTCTACGACGGACTATCCTATAATTGAAAAAAATCACAGGCAGACGGCCCGATGTTCAACAGGGTCGATGAAAGAAAAGTAAACGGAACGGGATCACAGGAACGGGATGACGGGCGTTTGGTTACGTTTGTTGGTTTTTGAGCTTGTATACCCAATAAAATCTCATCTTACATCATGAAACTAGATCTTCCCATGTGGTTTTGGGTCTCTGCTCTCATCTCTAGCCAGCTATAAAATGTTCATTCTCTCAGGTTGTTTTCATGTCTACTGCCCCCATCTTTTTCGCAGCCCTCCCTCCGGACCAAGGCAATGAGAGGAAAGGCACTGGTAACTCGATGTTCGTGTACAGCGTATCAGGCCCATGATATTCGAGAAGAAGTAGGCATAGAGTTTACGATATATCTTTTCTCCCCTTAGCACAGAAGTGGCTTGATGTAGGTTGGTAGATCATGGACGGCACTAAGTGCACACTGTGTCTCAGACTGTACTCGTCTCACCCAACGACGCGAATTTGTTAAGAGAAGGCCGCACTGGAACCGAAATGCTTATCCGTTATGCTCAAACAGTAAACAAAACGCATGTTATGACACTGTACAGCGTCCCTCATCGCTCAACGACATGCTTACACCTCATCATCCGCTCCTGAAGTTCAATCATTACTTTCTCTCCACGAATCACCTCACTGCAACTCGCCAAGTCAATTCAAATCACAATTCCAGGGGTACTGCGCAGCATCAAAGATTTACTCATCACCGTCATAGGAAACCTCTTGGCAGTGGAGCAGCACACAATGAGCTCGGCTGTCCCCACGACTTACAGCAACCGCCCCAGAACGCGGCAACGACTCCCCAAGGCACCTCCCGCCCTGGACGTGCCAAACATCGACGAAGACGCACCCGAGAGGAAGCGGGTGTTGAATGTTTTGGCCCAGCGCAGATACCGTACGTTATCTTGCTTTTCACCGCCTCGCCGGAAACTCTCATCGTTTGGTCAGATGCACTCTACTGCATGGCGCATCGTTGTCACATCTCGACTGCATCAAAAGGGACTCACAAGATTACTTACTCTGAAAGGATAGGCGAACGCAAGAAACAAGACCGCCTCGCCAGGGAGAAGAGGCGCGCCGATGGCCCAGAGCGTCGGGTGTCTGAGACATGCGTCGACCACGGCGGCTCTCCTCCTCCGGCAGCGGCTGCTGCTGCTCCACCCGTTCCTGATGCCGTCGACCCGATTGAGCAGACTGCAGACCGCCGCCTTCCATTGAACGCTGACCCGGATGGCGGCGCTACTGTGGGCTTCAATCTGGACGCATCTACGGCGTGGCCAGCCGATCTCTCAGACGACAGCTCGATATCGGAGCTGCTGTACGGCACGAACCTACCAATGTTCGACCACGGCTCAGACAGCGGCGAGACTACGATGACGGTCCTGCCCAGTCCGCCTTCGACCATCGACCCAGCGTCCCTCATGGACAGCGGCGCGTCCCTCTCGCCGTCAGAGTTCTCCGACAGCTACCTCCTGCCCCTGAGCGACCTGAAGCTCCTCACCGGACTGCTGCGAGTGGCCACGCGACTGGGCTCCGAATCCGTCATGTGGGATCCGGCGGCGACGTCGCCGTTCACTCTGGGCGCGGGCACACCGGTCGAGCAGCTGCCCGCAACGTGGAAGCCGACGGCGGCGCAGGTGCTGGTGCCTCACCACCCTATCATGGATTTCTTGCCGTGGCCCGACGTCCGTGATCGGATCATCAACCTGTTCAGTCTGCCTGACGGGGCGAGACCGCCTGCGGCTCGGGGCCAGCTGGGCCTGGTCAACTTTGCGTACGACCTGGAGGATTCTAGCGAAGGGGCGCGTATATGGGGTGGGGACCCGTATGATGCGTCGAGCTGGGAGGTTGGTCAGGTACTGTTTGAGAGGTGGTGGTTCCTGTTTGATAGGAGTGTTATTGCTCAGAGCAATAGGTGGCGGTCATTAAGGGGTGCCAAGGCATTGGAGATGCGGCCGGGCAGTGTGGTTGACTTGACTGATGCCGTTTAAGCGTCTTGCAGGTCGTAGGCATATAGAGTGCATTTAGACCGACTGAGAGGCGAAATCAAGAGTCCAACCAATACTATTGGCATAACCACTACTTTGAATATTGCCGAGGATTAGTCTGGACTCACCCGTGAACTCTTGACAACCCAGTCGGAGAAAGTGAAGCTCCGTTCACTTTGAGAAAAGTCCGTTGCCACAGTCAATGCCGGGTTTGAGCTGAGACTTGCTAGGCATCAGCATCAAGCTCGCAGCTCTCTACGAACGAACGGATGGGCCAGAAAAAGCATGCGCAGCCGGACTGAGGTTAGATGCGCGACATGGAGCAGACGGGCGGCCGGGCTAGTGCATGTAGTCGCGGAAGGCGAGATGCTTGGCCGGAGCTTATTGGCTTCGCTTAGAAGCAAGATGCGGGAGCAAGTCAGTCTAAGTACCTTGTTATCGAAAAAAGTTAATTCTTTTTAAGTTATAAGTATAAGAATATAGTTTTAATAAAATAGTATAATACTTACTTAGTATTTAAATTAAAATACTTTTTTAAACTTATTATAAAAAAAATAATTATATTACTAATTACTTATTATTAAAGTTCGTAATATTATAGTTTTAATTATAATAGTTTTATTTATAATAAGTAAAAAGTCTAATTATAAGTTTTTTAAAAGCCTCTTTTTAAGGGCTATAAGAGCTTCTAAATATATTAAGTTAAAATACTTATTAAAATATTAATAACTAAACTAATTTTATAATAATAACTTTAATAAAAAAACTAAAAAACGAACTAAAAAATAATATTAAAATCCTTATTAATATTAAGTATAATTTATAAAGGGTATTAACGTAGTTATAAAATATTAGTAATATATTTTATACTAAAAAAACTATTATTAATACTAATAAGATAAATAAGGCTATATTAATATAATACCTCGGCTTTTTTTTATAACTCGAGGATTATAATTTTAAATAATATTAAAAATTTATTAAAAAGCTTTTTTAAATACTCCGGTATATTTATTATTATTTTTATAATAATAAGACTCTTAGTACTTACGTACGAGTATAAGTTACTTATTTTTAAATAGTAATATTAGCTTATTAATAAGCTATTAAAATTATAATTTTAATAATTCCTTAATAAGGGAGAGGGTAAAATAGAGGAAAGGATAGGTAATTTATAAAAAGGGTTAAGGTTAAATAGTACGAAATTTAAGGGTAGGGTAGCGTCTATATATATTACGGTAATCCTCTAGTAATACAAAACGATGGAGTTAAACAGTGGGAGCAAGTCAGTCGCTCCGAAATTTGAACGTTCCGCAGGGAGAGCAAAATGGTGTTGCTGAACTCTCAGTGGCCGATCTGAGAGAAGCGTCGCGCGTACTGTGTTGTCCTGTGCGTTACAAACTACTTCGGAGCTTTGCGCCGTTGTCACCGTCGGACTCGGTTGCAGTGATCCGGGGATATCGGTCGTTGGTGTGACGGGGGGTTTTACTGCGATGGCTCGATGTAGTATCAAAAGCTTCCCGATGCACCAACTTTATCCAGTCGAGAGGCATGACACAGAATCCCATCCCTCGTTTTACAGGACTTCTGCCTCTGCCATGTGAGTGACTGACGGCAACTGAATGTGACCAACGATCGCCATTCCGAAAAAGGGTTCCCGGGATGTACTGCCCAACAAGCCTTTGCAGCGACTTGATTTATAGTTTTGGGCGAAGGAACTTGGTGTTTTGATCTCCCCGTTTTTCCCGGTTTCCCGTTTCCCGTTTCCCGAGATTTGGGAAACCGTTTTCTTGGTTTAGAGAAACTTGAGCCAACGGGTTGCAGGCGTTTCAGCGAGAGATCCGCCAATCATACTAGTTGACAAACCCCATCTGTGTGCAATCACGTAATACGTGGTAGAAACTAAAACAAAAAAGATCGAGTAGCAGAAGGGTGCGGTATCTGGAGAAATGGAGACCCTTCTTGGAGCTACGCAGTATGGAGGCTCTTGGAGGACGAACAGTCGGAGACTGGTGGGCTCTTGTGTGGAGCGCGCGAGGCGCCAGAGGCTGGAAGTGGCCGACCGCCGACGACGGACCCGAGGATGGGAAGGGAAAGCCCTGGTTGGAATAAACTTCCACGGTGCGAAAGCGGCTGGCTTGGTTGGTGTATAGTGGTGTGTAGAGGTATGCATGTGTGTTTCTGTGTGTGTGTCGGGGAAGCATGGGAGAGGGTTGTGACTTTGTGAGGGTGCAGTGTACCTGACGTAGGTCGTCCCGTCTGGCGGTGAAGGGATGAGGCGGGCGAGAAAGTATCCGGCCCTTTCGTCACCTCGGGCACATGCCATCAGGACACCTGTTACAGTCACTAATGTGAGTCCTTGCCGTAAGGGACTTTGGAATAGATAGTATTCACTCACACAACGACCTTATTTTGTGTAATGAGAGCACAGATGAATGAGACGGAAAGTTCAAGAAACACAAGTTTTTTTCGTACCTTACAGAGTGAGCACCTCTACGGAGACTTGACAGTTTTTCTGCCGCACCCCGCAGTTGCACAGGGCAGGGACGATCACCTCATCGATGGAGGGTCACTGAGGGTACCTAGTAAGGTGGGGGGGACTCACTCGCTCAATGGAAGTCTCAGAGTCACTCTCACTCTCACTCTTACTCTTCAAGAGTCATGGAAGACCCGCGGTGCTCGGTGCGACATCCGTCCCTACCTTACCATCCATGGATGATGGATCTCTGAGAGGTCCAGTGAAATGTACCTTAGGTACCCACGTACCTCGCAATGGAGGGGCAGTCGCCAATCATTGGACCCTATCATGCGTAGATTCCCTCCTTGTTCGGAGCTCTGATGCAGCAAAAGCGTGGGATCCAGCACTGGGAAGGGTAAGAGGGTCTGGAACTAGATGCCACCCGTATCTACGTACCTTTACCCTCCGTCACTTTCTCCTTCTTCTCCCCGGTCTGTTACTTTCCTGGACTTGAGCACTGAGGTAGCACATCTCGGCCGGTGCTGCAAAATTTCCAAACTTCTCCCCCCTTCATACCTCAAAAGTCCAATTCCCTCCAAGTGCCTTTTTTTTTTCTTTTCTTGGGACATCTGGGAAATTGTCTACTGCGCAGATCCGGGGATCGGTGTGTTAGGAGAGACGTACCATACGCTTTGAGCCAACGAGATTGTTTGGTGAGTTATTGACTTCTCGTTTCCCTTGCTTCAGAATGTCTAGACTTTTCTCCTGGCGTTCCTTAAACACGCGCCTTTTACCCCTCCACCATTCCATTCCTACCGCCCACCATTCCACTTCCACCCCGCTACTTCTAGCCTCTCCGCCACTTTGTCTCCCTTACCCAGGGCACTTCCACGCCACTTCTAAATAGCTTCATTTTTCCATACGGGACTCTCGCTCCCACAATCTGCTCTTTGTTTTTGCTTCCTCTAGTCAATTGAGTCTGACAAGTTTGCTTCTAGCAACACCCGGCGATTCTAGCGAGCCCTTTGGCGGCCATACTTCCACCTGTGCTCTGCCTTTGAACCACTCAGAAAACTTCCACCTACACAACCGCCAATATGCACATCAAGGCTATGCTCGACGAGTCCCGGAGGACGGGCGAGCCCTCCTTCTCCTTCGAGTATTTCCCTCCTAAGACGGCTCAGGGTGTCCAGAACCTCTACGATCGTATGGAGCGCATGTACCACTTCGGTCCCAAGTTCATCGATATTACATGGGGTGCTGGCGGCCGCATCGCCGAGCTCACCTGCGAGATGGTCCTCCAGGCACAGTCCATCTACGGTCTCGAGACCTGCATGCACTTGACTTGTACCGACATGGGTCTGGAAAAGGTCAACGACGCTTTGCGCAAGGCCTACAAGGCTGGTTGCACCAACATCCTAGCCCTACGTGGCGACCCCCCGAGAGAGCAGGAGAAGTGGGAGGCCACCGACGACGGCTTCCGCTACGCAAAGGACTTGGTCAAGCACATTCGTGCCACCTACCACGACCACTTCGACATTGGTGTCGCTGGCTACCCCGAGGGCTGCGACGACAACAAGGACGAGGAGCAGCTGCTGGACCACTTGAAGGAGAAGGTCGATATGGGCGCCACCTTCATTGTCACACAGATGTTCTACGACGGTGACAACTTTGTTCGCTGGGTCGGCAAGGTTCGCGAGCGTGGCATTACCGTCCCCATCATTCCCGGTATTATGCCAATTGCCACCTACTCCAGCTTCTTGCGCCGCGCAAAGCACATGAACTGCAAGGTGCCTGAGGAGTGGATGGCTGCTCTGGAGCCTATCAAGAACGACGACGTTGCTGTTAGAGAGGTCGGTAAGGGTCTGGTCGCCGAGATGTGCCGGAAGATTGTTGCTGCTGGCATTCACCACCTGCACTTCTACACCATGAACCTGGCCCAGGCCACCAGAATGGTTCTCGAGGAACTGGAATGGATGCCCACGAGCGACCGCCCTGTGAAGCATGCCCTTCCCTGGAAGCAGTCCCTGGCCCACGGACGCAGAGAGGAGGATGTACGCCCCATCTTCTGGAAGGGTCGTAACAAGTCTTACGTTCTTCGTACCCAGGACTGGGACGAGTTCCCCAACGGACGCTGGGGTGATTCTCGGTCTCCCGCTTTCGGTGAGCTGGATGCCTACGGCATTGGCTTGACCGGTACGAACGAGCAGAACAGAAAGAAGTGGGGCGAGCCCAAGTCAGTGAAGGACATTGCCAACATCTTCGTCCGATACCTTGAGACGGAGCTCGACTCATTGCCTTGGAGTGAGGCACCTCTCACTAGCGAAGCCGATCCCATTCGCGAAGAGCTCATTGGACTGAACAAGCGTGGCCTCCTGACCATCAACTCGCAACCTGCTGTCGACGGCGTGAAGTCGACCCATCCAGTACACGGTTGGGGACCGGCAAACGGCTACGTTTACCAGAAAGCTTACCTCGAACTCCTCGTTCACCCCGATGTGTACCATGAGATCGTTGCCCGCGTCGAGAAGAACCCTGACATGACTTATTACGCCACCACAAAGAATGGTAACTTGAAGTACAACGCTTCAAATGACAGCCCCAACGCTGTTACATGGGGTGTCTTCCCGGGCAAGGAGATTGTCCAGCCAACAATTGTCGAGGGTATCAGCTTCATGGCCTGGAAGGACGAGGCCTTCCGCTTGGGCATCGACTGGGCACACTGCTTCGAGGCTGGGTCTCCCAGTAGAACCCTTGTCGAGCGTATCATGAACGAATGGTACCTCATCAACATTGGTGAGTCTTGCTCGTCAGTTTGATCGTGCCGAGCACATATGCTAACATTACCCAGTGAACAATGACTTCCACCAGAAGACAGCTCTCTTCGACTTGCTCGAGGGCCTTGAGGTCAAGGAATACAGCGACATTTCGGCTGAGCCTCAGACAAACGGAGCCGTCAAGGAACAACAAACCAACGGCAGCGCTCCTACCGCCGCAGTTGCGGCAAACTAACGAACGATTCATTCTGACTTGTGTTTAACACACCCCCTTTACTACTATTTACTTAAGTATGCATCATGAGCGGCGTTTTCAACAGGGCAAAAGGGGGTCAACTTTGTTTTTTCAACAAAAAACTTTTTCAAGTGGCATGTTTCTATCCATGGCATTCAAGCGGTGAATGCGTGAGGAGAAACCAAAAACCGAACACACAAATCACACCACACCACAGAACAAAAGTCAAGGAGAAGAGGAAACGGACAGGAAGGGAAAGCAACGGAGCAAATGCATATATCTCAACGATACCCCCATACAAACGGACCACAAGTTTCTTTTCCCCAACGAGAAGAAAATGGTCCGGGAGAACTACACAAACAACCAGAGAGCAAGGAGTTTCAACACGGGTCTGTTTTTTATTTATACTTAGAGATGAATTCTCTTTTTGTTTGTCACAAGCGTGTTCGGAATTCTTTTTTCACGTTGGATAGCAGCAACACAAGCCGTGTATGCTATGGAATGAGGGAAATGACGACGAAACGCAGGAAGGGAGGAGGAAAAAGGATTGATCACGACTGCAGCATGAGGTGACTGCGGCGCGTCAAAAAAAAGGGGAGAGATGAGTTGGTGAGGATGTATGGAGGGAACTTTGTGGACTAGTGTCGTCGTCTAGTCTATCTTCAGAGCCAAATCAACTTGGGCTTGACTGTTTCCTCAAACTACACTTCTGGCGTCTTCCCAACCTGGTGATGTGCTCTTCTGTGATGAAACTACGTTGAACCTTGTTCACGACGGAGGCAGGGGTGACGGGGTAACGAGTCTTCATTCTGTGTTAACATGCTGCTCTATCTCTGTCCTCGCTGTCTTCGCTTTTATAGGGAGCGATATGAAGTCCTCGCTAGAAGAACGCCTGTATCTTTTCATGAGGGCGTCGTAAGCAGAGCGAGCTCCTAGAGAATCGTGTATCGGCGGCGCAGATTACCCATACGGGGTTGAGCGGCTCGACGTGGATGACGTGGATGACAATCGATCATGAGCCCCTCCGGATCACTTCCATCCCTTGTCCATGAAACCCATCTCATATCGCCACTCCCAATCTCAGGCGGCGATTCCATGATCAACTAACTAGCTGTGTGCCACACTCACCCTCCGCATCCTGGCAATCACACCCAAACTCCTTTCTAAACGCCTCCCTATCCATATCCGTAAACTTCATAATAGCCACTTTGGCGACCGCGACCTTGGCGTACCGTCCACTCGCAGCCGTGGCGTGGAAGTACACCTGCCCGTGGATCATGATACCGCAGAGGACCTGCGTCTCGGTAATGACACCAGCGCCGGCCTCGACGGGCGGCACGACCTCGTTGGTCATGAGGCGCCAGCCGTCGCAGCCGAAATCGTTGCTAAGCATGTGCGAGACGTTGGTGACGGGATGGTTGAGGGCGTAGTCGCTGTAGAGGGACATGTCGGTGAAGAAGGGCCGGACGTGGGCTTCGAAAAAGGCGCGGACCTGGCCGAAGTCGTAGTCCGAGTCCACGAAGACGGCGCCGATGTACGCTTCCATCATATCGGAGAGGTATTTGGGCGCGTCTTCTACGTGTTGCCAGTAGCTCACCGGGGCGGCGGTTGTGGCATTCCCTGTAGCTTTGGTCACCGGCGCTTCTTTTCCTTGTTCTCCGTCGGCGGGAGCTCCGTTTTGAACTGCTTCCATTAGAGCTTCTTCTCTGGCGCTCTCTTCGGCGAATCTGAGAGCGGCAACGAATTCTTGAGTCTGGCTCAGCAACGATGCCTGCGCCGTCAAAATGTGCTTATGGAGGTCCAGCTTCACGCAGAGGCAGGCCAAGAAGCGATTGCTGACCATGGTACTCTTGTGGCGGGTCAGCCACTCCGGATCCGCGCTGGGAAACTTGTGGTAGAGGAAGTCGACGCAGACCATGTCGAGCAGAGCATCGCCGAGGAACTCGAGACGCTGGTAGTTGGGCAGAGAGCATACATTATGAGGGCACGACGGATGCTTAAAGGCACTTCGCAGCAGCGCAGGTGACTTGAAGTCGTATCCCATCTTGTTCTTGACCTGTCTGGCCACATCCCGGTACATTGCGGAGGCTGGCTCTGTCTGCCAAGAGGGAGGCTTGTACCCTGCGTAGTAGTCTGCCCATGAGGTCATGCGATGGTTCTCATCGTTCACCATGGCGCTGACTGCCTGGATGGCCATGTCGAAGTTGTTCGAATCGCTGAACGTGAGATACGCGGCGCCGATCAGGGCTTCACAGACATCAGCGATGGATTTGTCCGCAAGAGCATGGTTGGCATCAACAGTGCCCTCCTTGCCCCGGATGAGACGGAGACCCTGAGGATACCAGCTGCGGCGGTTGAAGGATTTTGATCGCACGTATTCCTGCAAGTTCCGGTCGATAGCCTTGTTCAAGAGGTTCCGATTGCTGATCAACAGCATACGCTCGACATGATACTGGAACTCATTGTTGTCTGGATTGTTGGTAAAGAGGGCGATAGTGGTGGCCATTTTCAAGCAAGTATCGCCAATGAACTCCAGGCGCTCGTAATTGTTGCCCATCCCCCCTTGGAAGTTGATTTTCTCTGCGTCATGCTCGTCACTGTTGTCAGAGTCTTTGGTGACGGCTTCGAGGGCCAGGTCAGGCCGGATGTCGAGCTTGAGCAACTTGCACAAGTCGAGGGCAATCAAGACCTGGTCCATGCGATGAATGATGGCAGGAAATGTGAATGCCATGGCGACTGTCTCCATAGGTAACTAGGGATGATTAGGTTATGAGTTCGGTTAGAGGGAGCTGAACTTACAGTCGAGACCCTCAAGGGCTCCAATATCACGTAGCAGACCTTGGACTCTCCATTTGTGGCCTCCACGAAGTCATCCAGCAAGTTGCGTCTCAGTGAGATCACTTCGGCCTCGACCACAGGCTGCGTATCGCGCCATGTTCGCTTAAGACGACTTTTCATCCAGAGACTGACGCTGTACTCCTTGATGTTCTTCTCCACTGCTGAGTCGCGCCACGGCCTGTGGCCAGGGTCAGGAACGCCATCGGGCACGGGATCCATTGGCTTCAGGTCTTTGCGAACTCCCCTCAAGCGTAGCTTGCGAGATCCCGCGTAAGGATCGATTACGAGCTTGTCAGTAAAAAACTCATCTGAGGTGCTGTCGTCCCAGTCTAGATAGTCTTTGTCGTTGGTCGCTTGAAGGTGGTTCCAGTCAACTAGTGTAGCTGCGTCGGCATGTTGATAGTCGGCGGAATGACTCTGTGCGGTCGGAGCGAGGAAGTAAGGCATATCGAAGACCGCAGCTTCGTATTCCTTGCTGAAAACGTCCTTGAAAACACGAAGGGTGAACTTCTTCAGAAGCTCTGAATTTGCTGGAGACATATTGATCGGCTTCGGCAGGGACACGACGAAAGTATTAGACTTCTGATCGTTTCCAAAGAACAGTGGTATAGGAGGAAGGTCGGGCAACTTCTCTCTGGTGAGGAGAAGCAGCGGCTTCGACTCTTTGCCAACTGCGTCTGGCGAACCAAGTGCCAGTACTGTGACGTACAGATGATCAAAAACACCAACTCGTGACCAGATTTCAGGCTTGGTACGCATCCTGTACTCTGCCCTTTTGTTGGAACTGATTGCTAGACGGGCGTTTCGCATCGCAGGTAGCTTCCTGGTGAAGATTGGTTGTAAGTTGAGATCGATGTACTTCTTCTTGACTAGCTCCTTGCACAGCTCGAATGCCGCAGAACAGCGGGCAGCCTGCTTCCTCTTGTGTGGCATTCCCGTCATGCTAAGAATCGGGGACTTTGCCGGTAACTGAACCTCGGCGATGAAGGATTGTCCCTGGTTGGTCACCACATACTCTGGCATCAAGACTTCATCGCTGGACTGGCGCAGTGATGATGCGAAGTTGGCCAACACCTCTAGGCTAGACATCCACGTCAGCTTGGCGCCGGTCTCCTTGATGGTGTAAGTCTGGTAGTGCAACTCTGCTTGCATCACGCTGGCATTGATGTCCATGCCCATGATCTTCTTGTCTTCCGGTAACGCACTGCAAAATCGGCGGAGAACGCTTTGATCATACGTGGCTTGCGCTACCGCTCGAGTATGTCTTCCATTGCCTAACTCGACGAAGGAAAGATATTCTGAATCTTGTTGTCTTGCGCGTCCCTTCGACTGAATGTACTGAATGACGGACTTATAAAGGTCAAATCGCATAACCACATTGCAGGCAGGAATATCTATTCCCTCTTCAGCAACTTGGGTAGAAAAGATGCAATTGACTTCACCCCGCCTGAACTTTGTGATGGTCAAAAGCTGTTCCTTGAAAGACATGTTGCCGAGACCTGCAGAGGCCTGACTGCCGACGAGTGCTGCCGGCTTGAGGTGTGGTAAGTCCATGCCGTCCTGCTTGAACAACTCGGCGAGCATCACTGCAGTGAGTCTCATTTCCACAAATACGATGCACCGATGATCAGTTGGCTGAGAAAATCGGACCTTCAGCTCGTCCCAAAGGCGGAGGACCTTGCTTGACACATCATCCAAAGACAGTGCGGGTGGCTTAAAGTTGTGACTTTGGATGATATCCCGAAGCTTTTGGACTGCCGCTGTATGCTTGCCATTACCGTCGAAACCCGAGTAGTTGATATCTGTTCTGTTCGCCAGTCGTGCAATCGTGTTGTCGGTAAGGTAAAGCTTCCAGAAGCGATCTGCTACCCACGGACCGAGTTCCGCCATGACGGTGGTAGTCCATTGGAGCTCCTTGTCAAAGAGCTGGTTCCTGCGAACAAGTGCCCGTATTTTCTGCACGAGTTCCGATTCAAACGATCTCACTAGAGGCGTATAGTGGATTTCCCTCTCTGTAATCTTCCGCTGGTTGGGATTCAAAGCCAGCGATTCCTCGGAGACGGTTGCAATTTCGCTGTGTAGGAGGCACTCTAATTGAGCAGTGGCAACCTTCATGTTCGTCTGGGCGTCAACCGGTGACGCAGTCATGCCGAGAATTTTGGGTCTCTTCTCCTTTTCGGGCTCTCTGATGTAGAAATCCTTGATGATGCGCGCGTAGGGATGGTTTTTCTTCGTATGATGTGCTTCGTCGAAGATGAGGAGGTTGATCTGGTGCATGCAAATGTAAGAGTGCATCAAACATTTCTGCAAAATGGCCGCAGTGCAAACCACGACCATGTTCTCTTCAAACTGTTTAGCCCAGAACTCGCTTGACCACATCTCGTCAACCATGTCACCGCAGTACCGGGCGACAGAATGCTCCAGGTTGCACTCGAGAACCGCGTGCTGCTGAAAGACCAGCGACACCTTGTCAACCTACATAAATACGTTAGTCTAAGAACAATTGCTAGCCATCAGTATACTAGGGCTTACCAGAAAGAAAGCCGTACGTTTAGGCTTTCCGTGTGCGCGGTCCTCGACCTCCTTCTCAAGTATGTGACGAAGCAGAAGAGCGGCAATCAAGGTCTTGCCGGTGCCCGTGTCCAGGACTGCGATGATGTTTTTCTGTTTCGCTCTTTCGAAGAGCTCGATCTGGTACTCGCGAGGAGTCTGAATAATTCTTCGGTTCTCACTTTCCTTCACCAAGTATGCAATAGATCCATGCGTCGGTGCCTTGGTCTTTGAGGCTGCCTCAAGCACCTTGGCTTGATTCGATTCGATCCAAGACTGGAATTTGGCGTGGTCCTGACGCTTCTTCTCTGAGATCTTTCGCGGCCGCTCAGGGTTGACACTCCAGCGACGATAGTCATCTTCTTCATCCTCATCTGCCTGATCCTGCTCTTCGACGTCGTCTGTGGTGACAACGGAATCATGCCTGGAGGAAGTCGCGGTTGAATAGCTCGGAGAGGGCAGCGTGGTGGAAAACTCTATTGCCGGGCAGGTTCCTCCTAGTCCGGTCGTCGAAGGCGGCTTATGGCTTCTCTCCACAGGCGTCGAGGGCTTTGAGGGAAGGGGAGTCAAGTAGAGCTCCCCTAGGCCGTCGATGAGAGGCCAATCCCCGATTCTTTGACGTTTGGATGTCTCCATATCTGCGCGAATACTTTGTGAGAAGAGTTGTGTGCCTCAGTATCGTTGTTGACGAGGGAACACACTTGTAGATGATGGCGTTGGGTTATCGGGAGGCAGAGAGGTTTCGTGGAGAGTGGATGCAAGATGAATGGGAATAGAGCGCGACACCGGATCAACCCAGAGGGGGATGGCTCCTTCTCAAACAACTCCGTCTCTGTTCAAGGCAGCGGAAGTGCGCAAAAGTCAACGCCAATCATCAACCTTGACGCTAAATCGAAGGAGAAGCAGATCACTGCAGGAGGTAAGAAAAATAGTGTGAGCCAAAGAGTCTTGAGAGCTCATGGAGAAGGGCATGTAAAGAACTAGGCACCTCTCAGTGAGACAAGTTTCACCTCAGCCTATGTGTTGAGAGCTGGTGACGTCTGGCTTATTTGTGGTGTCTGATGAGGTGAAGGCCGGAGGGCCGAAGTGAAGTGGATGTAATGGAGGGAAAAGTGAGGGAAGGTGATGGTAGAAGGATATGATATGGGAAGGGGAGAAAACTCTGGCCGTCTACCTTCCCGTATTTCCACTCAAGAATGGAAAGTGTGAGTGCCAGAGAAGTCGGGAAAGAACCCGCTCCAGATGCATCGGATGGCGCTGTTCCTGATGGTGATTTGACTCTCAACGAAGCAAAGGTGTTCACAACAAAACTGAACCAGCTTAGAAGGAAGTTTGATGTCGTGGATGTTACGAGCAGTGACGGTATTAAAAATCGAAACTTTTGAAATAGAAACTAGAAACAAGACTAGTGAGAGAAAAAATGGAAAACATCAAGAGAGTACCGGTCAGTCTAGGATGCATCTCTACTCCGATTGCTGCCGGCATGGCGCGGCAAGCAGCATGAGGCAAGCAATCGAACTAAAACAGGTGAAGATTTCGCCCATATTTCCCATGAGCCAAGATTCAAACAATGCCCATGGAGCTGGGTGGTTGATTCTTTCAACAAGGCCCGAGCATTTTGAATTATTGCTTCTCCATGGAAAGGCGTCTAGGTGACGACTCAGGCGGGGGTGTGAACAGGAAGGCTGCTTTGTCTGGTGAGCTGTCTCTCTTGAAGAGTTGTCGTTTATAAAGCTCACGGAATCTGAGGTTGATGTTTGTAAGTATTAGGTAGGTACGGTGGTACTGTTGTACCTTGCCCTTCGGTCGAGAGCTCTGCCGACATGGACCCCTGTTACTACCCCACCTTCCATCTCTCAGCTCCCCCGCCGCCGCCATGAGCGAGCACTGAGGTGGGATGTGGTGGGTGGTCTCCTAGATAAGATAAGGACCCTTGCCGAGAATGCAAGTCGCCACTCAACCTAACCTAAGGATTTGGAACGACGGAACCTAAAGTTTGGTGCCAATTCTCGATAGCCTCTTCTAAGCGCAAAGAGGCGAACCGTTGCAGTAAATTTCAAGCTAGCTATGAATCCCCTCACACGCCACAGCTTATGATACTTTGATCGTCGCTGCAGCTTGATTTTATCACCCTTTGTGTTGGGCCACAAGTCTCTCCTCGACCTTTTCTTCTCGTATTCCCTGCAACTCGTCGCAATTTCCAATTCACATTCTCCCCCAACCCCTCCACCCCTCCATCCATCCCCACTACTTACCTTACCAAGCAACAAACGACGCTCTGGACGGACACCTCCCGACAGCCAACAACCACAGTCCGAACAGCGATCATGGCAGACGAGGATCAACCCCAGACACTCAAATCCGTCTTCACGTCGGCCGAGAGAAAGCGCCTCACCCTCGAAAACTCCTACGAGGCCTCCTCCCCGACCTACCTCGATGACCTCCAAACCGCCATCGCAGAGTACGAGACATGCCTCGACCTAGTCTCTCGCGCCGCCCTCTTCTCCTCCAACGAGTCCCTTGAGGACCTCTCCACCTCCTCGCTCCCCTACCTCCTCATCACATACCACCTCGCCGAGCTGCACCAGAAGCTCCCCTCCCGCCGGCCCATCGAGCGCCGCGTCGCCCTCGAGCGCGCCCGCGAGTCCTACGAGACCTTTCTCGGCGCCCTCGACTCCTACGACCTCCTGACCGACACGAACAAGATGCTCTATGAGCGCTACACCGACGAGCCCCTCGCCTTCTCCACCCTTGGCACCAACGACCCCGCCAAGCGCCGCGACGCCAAAATCGCAAACTTCAAGTCGGAAAAGGCCCTCAAGGACCGCCTCGAGGCCCTGCGCCGGAACCCGCGCTACCAGAACGAGGACGGCGATGACGAGGTCGCCCGCGACCTGCACCTCGCGCACGTCGCATACTCGGCGCACATGGCGTTCCAGGGGCTCGAGGGTATCAACCGTGAGCTCGAGGTCCTGGCCCAGGCCACGGTGCCGCTGATGCCCTCGCCGACGTCCGTCGAGGAGGACGAGCGCCGCCGCACCGAAGACCGCGGCGCTGCGGGATACACCGAGCGTCTCGAGCCCCCGCGCCGGCTGCAGAGCATGTTTGGGCAAGGGGGCCCCATACTGTCTACGGAGGGCAAGCCGCTGCAGCCATTCACGCTCGTCGGGAACAGACAGCAGATGACTAAAGATGTCTTCCGCCCCGGCCACAATCTGCCTACGATGAGCATCGACGAGTACCTTGACGAAGAGGCGCGCCGGGGCGGCATCATCGAGGGAGGCGGCGACGCGAGCTGGCACCGCCCGGAGCCTAACGAAGATGATTTTGACAAGGCGGACGAGGAGACGATGAAGGCGAGAGCGTGGGACGAGTTTGTCGAGGCGAATCCAAAGGGCTCAGGAAACACGCTAAACAGGGGCTGAGGCTCAAGAAGTGGGATCAGGAATGGGGATTCGGGCAATCGGGTGGGAGTATGTAATTTGGAAGAGTTTGATGCATAGACCAAAAAGAACGTAGGAGGATACCACCACGCACGACACGACGACGGCCTTGGGAGTTCACATTATGGTGAGAACGGCAAAAAGGCTTCATTGAATTCTTGTATTCAATACAGCATTATCAACATCTAACGCATTTGCCCAGACATCCGGTCTCATCTGTGCTGCCCTATAAGTGAGAGCCAGTGTCATCAACCGTAGACCCCTTTTTGTTCCCTGTGTAATCACCAGTATGAATCTGCCACCTGGCAATCTTAATGCAAATTGTTAGTACTCCGCCAAAACGCCTCAAACAAATTCCAAGTCCACATCGTTATTCATGAGTATTTGGTTGAACCCCGCATTTCTGATACAATGATCTAGACCATAACCAAATCGTCGTCGTCGTCAAGAAGGGAAGAAGAAGCGGTGCTCTTGGAAGACGACGCAGCAGAGGCCGGCTGATTCTCGCGAGAGGAGAATGCCGCGCGAGCACCGGAACCCTCAATGACGTACTCGGGAGTCTGTTCGCGAGAGCGGCTGTCCTCTGGACCAACCTCCGTCATCACCTCATCGTCCTCGTCAGCGTCAGTATCGAAGTTGATGCTGGTGCCCGTGTCCGACTGGTCGTGACTCTCATCGAGTACCATTGTGCTCATGGCCTCAGCCACAGACTGTCCGTCTGCGGGGATGGCGAACTTGGCGTTGCCGTACTCCGAGCCCCCGTCCGTGAAGGACTCTGTGCGGATCGAGACGTCGTCGGCGATGACCCTGTTCGGGTTGAAGACGGTCGAGATGCCGTCTTGCACGTCCACGCTGCCAGGTCCGACGGTGCTACCGCTCCCCTCCAGACGAAGCTGTCTCAAGACGCTGCTCACCGAGCCCGAGGTGCTCGAGGCATCCGAGGGGATCGTGATACCAGTGTGATAGGCTGGTCCCGGACCGGCTGGACCATAATCGGCAGGAGGCAGGGAGTGTTCAAACACGCCTCCGGTACCGTCGTCGTTACCGCCGGCCCAGAGAGGCAAGAACTTCAACTCGTTGTGGTGCAGCTTCAGCAGCAAGTGCGGCGTCAAGTTCATCCTAATCTCGAAGTCGGCACGGACGCATTCCTGGTAGAACGGTTTGAGGAAGTCCTGGAGTGGTTTCTGGAATTCGCGAGTGTCGAACGCGTATCTGTAGGCCCCCATCATATCCAATTCGCGGGTGTCGAACGGGTTCTTCATGGAGAGGGGGCGAGGGAGGTTCAGAACGGCCATCCAGGCGCCGTCCCAGGCGAATTCGGGGTGCGCGACGAGGACCTCCTTCAAGTGGTCCCACAAGGTCGTGACCAACTTGTACACATTCGTTTGGCCCGAGGCGCTTGAAGTGTATATTTCGGACAGAGACGCCCATTTGTTTCCGACCGTCTCGTACATGAAAGTGCACAGAGCCTTCTGCACGTTGTTGAACTGGTTGTAGATGATTTCGAAGCGGTTAAAGTTCTGAATGTCGACGTAGCTGGCTCGGTGGTCGTCAATCTTTTGGAGATCATCGGCGTCAAGAGGCTTTCTAAGCAACTTGTAGACCACGTGGTTTTCCCAGAGAGTCTTCAGCGTAAACGATACCGTCATCGCGGAGACCTTGGCTTTGACCACGACGGGGTCATCTGGGCAGCTCGAGAGCATGCTGATGAGGTTCTGCAACCGCGTCCACTCCGGAATTTGCAGATCGTCGAAGATGGTCTCGCTGACCAGCTGGTTGACGGGCCACGAGACGCGCTCGACCATGGCTCTGGCCGCGTGCTGGATGAGGTTGTTCAAGTCGTCGCCGGGATCGTGACGCTTGCGTCCAAAAACGGTGTAGGTTGCGGCTTTGGGCGTTCCCTTCACATCGGCGGCTTCTTCCAGAGCAAGCTCATTCACCAGGATTCGGAACGCTGAGCGGGTGACAGCCTCCAGCTTCAGGGCGACACCGAGTTGAAGACTCTCTTCGGGCAACACTTCGATGAAGGAGGTATTGTTGGGAGACGTGATCCATTGAAGAACTAGATCGCGCTATTGATCATGTTAGAATCAAACAAAGTCGATTAGGGTGGCGAAGAAACTCACCACAACAGTGGTGCAGTCCAAAATCTTGGCAACTGCCACCAGGGTCCAAACTCGAGCGGCCGAATCGATGAAAACCCGCTTGTTTGCAATGATGCACATGAGGCGCAGAATGTTGACGCGATGGCGGATCGGGCAGTAGTCCGGGATGCGTCTATAGGGGGGAACTGCGGGAGCAGAAAAGTCTCCTCTAGACTTCTTCTCCAGAACCCTGGCAGCCAATCCCTTGTCCTCACTGTACAGCCTCTCCTTATTCTTGCCGTTCTCCGGAATGACATCGCGCAGACTCTCTCTGATAGCCGAACTGATGGCGTACTCCATCTCCGGGTCCCGTTCCTTGTTCTCATCTCGGGACGCTTCGCTCGCTGAGATCTTGTCGATGATCGTGTTGAAGCTATCGACCTTTGCTTCTTTCCAACAAGAGCAGATATCGTCATGGCCACGCACGACGTAGTCGTCAACATCGTGCTTGTCGAAAGCTGTCCACCAGTTCATGATGCCCGGTGTCAGCGAGGCTTCAGTCATCTGAAAGACGAGATCATCGCCCTCGGAAGGAGGGGTAAGGTCCAAGACGTATTTGATGCCCGGAGGAAGATTCTTGGCAATCTTGCGCCGACGCTGGACACGGAATTGGTAGGTAGGATTCAGCATCTCCGCGAACTTGGAGGATCCAGTGGCCAGGAGCTTGTCAGAGGGCATCCGAAATCGGACCGAGTTCCATGCGTAGATGAAGCAATCAACGCTGTCTGCTGGGTTCGCAGGAGCAGGGAAGTCCACGAAGATCAAGGTATCGCCTTCGTTGAGTTCATTCTGAATGTCGTGGAGAAGGAACTGGGAGTATCGGCGAGCCTGACTGTGCGGCATGTTGTTCTCAGTGGCGCGTGGTCCCTGTTGCGATCGTACAAAGTTACTGAAGGTATCGAGTGTCTGCGACGGGACATCAACGACTGCAAAGGCATCCGGGATATCAGTTGTCTCTTCGGGAGATGTTCCTTCACGGAATGTTGCTATAGGAAATAGCTCTGTAGCCAAGCGCTCAAGCAAAGGCTCCTCAGCAGCTTGCTCTCGGAGCGGAGGCCCAACGTACGTGACACCGCGATCGGGCTCACCTTGAGCACCGCCCCGGCTTTCTTCTTGATCTCCGTCCTGAGGGGCCTCCCACCAGTCCATGACTACAGGTGACCAATCGTTGTCTGCAGCCGCTGGTGGCGCCTTGTTCTCGTCCGAGGCCATTGCTGCGAAGAGATCAGGACATAGGCAACGGGAACTTAGTTAATGTTGAGATGAGGAGGATCTGGTCCTCTGAGCTCTCACACCGATGATGACTGACACCAAAGCAGCCGGGAGATTGACGACGTCGAAGTTAGAGTAGCAACCAAAGGTATGAGTAGCTTCTCTGCCAATCGAAACTAGCTGGGCGAAAAAGCGTGGTCAAAAGAGTTGAAGAATCGCAAGGCAACAAGTCCTCCAGTTCGCAGTCTGGATACCCAAAGATGAAGATTGGCGGGGGTGCGTAGCCTTGTCCAGGCAGCAAGGTCCCAGGGAGTCAGATGCCACTCAGCGCGGTTCCAAACACCGCCGGCTGCCTCAGCCACGCGGCTATCCTACCAAGAGCGTCGAAGAGGAGATGACTGGAGAGAAGCCGCTCGCGAGAATCGCCTGATGGATTGCGATGCTGTATGATGGTGGTTTTTTGGGCAACGAGAATGCGATGTAATCAGGAGGAAAAGAATGAAGCTGTGACAGTGAAGGTTGACAGGAAGATGAGAAGCATGGATGGAGGGGTAAGAAAAGGTACCTTCACTGTGCCCCGGTGACATGAGACCGTGTCTAGGAGTTATGCAGACAACCAACGTGGGTTTCTACCAAACTAGGTACAAGTGTTCGGACATTGGGTACGGTGAGTAGACTGCGGGAACGAGAAAGATGACTGGATGACCAGGTATTAGCTAGGCAACTCGTGACTTGAGTGACTCTACTGCGGGTGCAGACATGACTGGTATGTTGAGGTGCTTTGATCTGGCTCGGCTTACACTTTGTGAGGGGCAGGGATACAGCTGTGGCATTACTTCCAGTACTTAAGGTACATAAAGATGGACAAAGCTCCCAGCATTCCGGAGTGGTCACATACAATAAAACCGAGAGGAACCATTGGTAGCCAGTGAGTCTTTCAGAGCTTTCAGAGGTGAGTGCAAAAAGAGGCCAATCTAGGCGACAGAAGACGGCTAACAGCGGACCCGAACACATCTCTGTTCCTTCTTCCTCTTCAAAAGAAATGAAGGTGATGCGGGATAGAGTTGATGAGCGCCTATCAGCCCAAATCAGGCAGTAGTGACTGAGGAAAGCCACGAAACCGTCACCCAATGTACTGGCAGGCCTCACATCAAACAGATGGGGAAAAAATGGACAAAGTATTTTCTCCTCGTGGCTTTATAGTAAGGCGGCCTCTTTGAAGACCACCACACACAATCAGGGTTTCCCAAGACTCATCGATACTTTGGCCTCCTTGTCGCTGTTGCCTGCTCGAGTGGCCAAAAGTGGGGGAAGCGGGTGACGTACCTTGTGCTTACCTGAGGTGCCTCCAAATACCACGCCCGGGGATCAGCTGCCAGCTCCGTTCCGGCCGGCCGCCGCTGTGTGGACCGAGAGCTGGAGGTCCGGTCTGCTTGGCCCCACTTCCAGACCGGCAGGTTTGACCAAGCGACTTTTGAACGAAGAGCATAACTCCATCCCTTCTGTTGGGAAAACGCATCTTACCTGATTGAAAGATGCATCGAAGAAATACCACCTCCACTGTACACTCATACTGAGCGGGGGCTCAATTTTGACTGGCAAACAAAAGCATGGGAGCATAAGCAC